GTAAAGTGATGCTCAAGGTGATATAACAAAGGCCTCTACCTCACATGGAGCAAGAAATGCCAGATGTTCAAACTGGATTCTGAAAAGGAAGAGGCACTTGAGGTCTCAGTGTGAACATTTGTCGGATATGGGAGAGCTCCAGGGAATTTTAGGACTTTACAAACTACAGTAAAGCCTTCGACTGCGTGGACCTTGAAAAGCTCTGGGTTGCTCTGGAAGAACTGGGTGTGTCCCAGCACTTGATTATCCTGAAGTGTAACCTGTGTTGTGGACAGAAAGCCACTGTCAGGATAGAATACGGACACAGAATGGTTTGCTGTCGGCGAAGGTGCATTTTATCTCCCTATTTGTTTAATCTGTACACATACTGTCGCATACAAAAAAACTGGGCTAGACTAAATTCAGAGGAAGAAGTGAAAATTGATGGAAGAAATATCAATATGTTAAGATATGCAGATGGTACTTTACTTGCAGCAAGTACCAATGATTTGAAACAACAGAAGAAAGTGCCAAATCAGGACTTCATTTGAATACCAAGAAGACAAAAATCATACCTATATAAGAAATACACAACTTTAGCATCGACAAAGGAGTCACCCAAATTATTTAAGGTTTTGCTTACCCTGGTTCAGTCATCAATTCAAATGGAGACTGCAGCCAAGAAATCAAGAGAAGGCTGAGACGCACAGGGCTGTGAAAGAATCAGGAAGGATCTTCAAGGGCAATGATGTGCCATAAAGAAGAAGGCTAAGATCATCCACACCCTTTTCTTCCCAATTGCTAAGTATGGATGCAAACGTTGTACAGCAAAGAAGGGTGATAGGGGAAAATATTGGTTCATTGGAAAGATGGCGCTGGAGAGCTTTACAGATACCCCAGACTCTCAGGAAGGGGAACAAGTAGGTCCAAGAGCACATTAAATGGGCAATAATGACAAAGTGTACATACTTCTGTCTGTTCTTCGGAAAAAGACAATGATGCTGGGGAAAATAGGAGGCAGCAGAAACGGGGGAGGACTAAGTCTGAGATGTGCTGACTTCATAAAAGCAGCCATGGGCTTGAGTCTGCAGGAGCTGAGCAGGGCTGTTGAGGGCAGGACATGGGTGTTACTCATTCATGGCATCATCAGGAGTCAGATTGACTCAGTGGCACATCACACACACGACACTGCTTAATGGAAATAGGATTAAGGCCAGAGTTTAGTTTCTGGTAGGCATAGGGAGCTCAAGATCCCAGACTATCTCAGTTATTCACTCATGTTTATCTCCCACTGAATGACCAGCACGATTGTGCACTGCACAGCTCCAGGTCATACTGTTCATTTAGCTTATGATGAGAGTGGCACCTGGACTTAGGCAACGTGGCAATCCTGTAGGTCTTCACCCTTAAACCTCAGGGAGAAGCAGATTTGGAAGGAGCCCTTGGGCTTTGGGAGGACGGAAGAATGAATGCAGGAGATTGTTAGATCCCCACCGGTTGTTCTGAGCTCCTCCTCTAGAGAGACTTGGGCAGCTCCCCGGAGTTTACCACCAGTGGATGCTGAGCTAGTTCTGGGGCGCGTGCCACTAATCCCTTCAGTAAGGGGGCAAGCAGTGGTTGTTCTGAGGCATCAGTGGGTGAGGGCAAGAAGGGAGTTGAACTGCTTTGCTTATCATTATTGCTGACGTTCTCTGCCAGGCACCTTCCACCCAGGCTACAACTCCTCCCCACACTAGTTCAGAAGACCAGTCCATCTTCCTATGAGTTTTCTAGATTTTCTTTAATTAATGTCCAGGATTCTGTGTTTCTCCAGAATTCCTCTGTGTAAGGAACCAACAACTACTGCTAATTTTCCATATTGGCAGAGCCCCAGAGTAAAGCTTTCCCACCTTCCTTTTTTAAAAAAAAATTTTTTTCCTTTTAAAAATTTTACTTTTCTATTACAATAGTAATGCATGTTTATTTTAGGTAAACAAAAGCAATTTATAACAAATCCCAATTGTAACCACTGTCAACATTTTGGTGTTTTATTTTCACATTTAGTTTTTAATTACTGGATTTTTTTTGTTTTGTTATTTATCTCCCTCGCCCAATTACAGCTGATATTCAATATTATTTTATGTTAGTTTCAGGGTATAGCATAGTGGTTAGACAATTATATAACATATGATCCCCCCCCCTTCCATCTATGAGCATAGAATAGCTTTCCTCTTATTTGTGTCTTCTTCGATTTCTTTTATCGGTATCTCATAATAGTCAGTGTAAAAGTCTTTTACCTGTTTGTTTAAACTGATTCCTAGGTATTGTATTCTTTTAAATGCAATTGTAGTTGAAGTTGTTTTCTTAATTTATCTTTCTGATAGTTTGTTGTTAGTGTATTAGTACATGCAACATATTTTTGTATACTGACTTTGTCTTCTGCAGCTTCACTGTTTGTTAGTTCCAACAGATTTTAGGTGGTGTCTTTAGGGCTTTCTATATTTTATACTAGAGGCCCGATGCATGAAGATTTATGCAAGAATAGGCCTTTCTTGCCTTGTTGCGTCAGTTTGTATATTTCCTCCTTATTGGTGTGGGTGCAGCCATTTTTGTTATGGAGTTGTGGTCAATTTGCATATTATGTCTTTATTAGATAGGATTGTGTCATCTGCAAATAGTGACAGTTTTACTTTTTCCTTTCTGACTTAAGTGCCTTTTGTTTATTTTTCTTGCCTAACTGCTCTGGAGAGAAATTCTAATGTTGAATAAAAGTGGCAAGAGTGGGCATCCTTGTCTTTTTCCCAATCTCAAAGGAAAAGCTTTCACCATTCAGTATGCTATTAGCTGTGAACTTATATATACTAGAGGCCTGGTGCATGAATTTGTGCATGGATGGGGTCTGGCCAGCCTGCCCAGATGGGGGCCAATTAGGGCTGGGCTGGTTGGAGGGGAGGGACCACAGGAAGTTGGCCAGCCCCGCCCCAAATGGGGGATGATCTGTGGTAGGGCCTGCGGGGGCAGGGATGAGGGAGGTTGGCTGGCCGGCCCTACCTCTGGTGAGGGTAGGGGGCGCCAATTGGGGTGGGGAGTGTTGCCTGGGGGGAGGGGCTGCAGGCAGTTGGGAGGTGCCAATGTGGCCGGTTGGCTGCCACAGTGTGCATCATAGCAACCAGTCATTCCAGGCATTCCAGTCACTTGACTTTTATATATATAGATGGCCTTTATTTTGTTGAGCAATGTTCCTTTTATACCCTTTGTTGAAAGTTTTATCATGAATGTATGATGAATTTTGTCAAATGCTTTTTCTGCATCTATTGAGATGACTGTATGTGTTTCATCCTTCATTTTGCTAATGCTGGTATATCACATTGATTGATTTGTGGATATTAAACTATCCTTGCATTCCTGGAGTAAATCCCACTTTATTATGGTGTATTGTTGAATTTGTTTTGCTAATATTTTTTTGTGGATTTTTGCATCTATGTTCATCTAACTCTGAATTTTAAAAGCATCATCATCTGTTATCTCATGTCTCCTTCTTTCATTTCTCTATTTGTGAAATTCATGTTTCTTTCTCAGCATTGTCTTTATTTTCTTCCTTCTTATTGCATTTATTGGGGTGACACCAGTTAACACAATTATGCAGGTTTCGGGTGCATAATTTTGTAATGCATCATCTGTACACTGTATTGCATGTTCACCACCCAAGTCAAGTCTCTGTCTATCACCATTTTTCACCTCTATACCCTCAGCCACCTCCCCCACCTGCTTCTCTGCAGCAATCACCACACTGTTGTTCTTGTCCATAAGTTTTTTCTCTTTTTTCTACATTTTTTGCTATATCCTTCCACTCCTCCCACCATTGTCCCACTACCCACCAACTGCTGTTGGCCTGTCCCTATTTTGCTTGTTCAAAATGTTTGCTGATTCTTGACTGTACTCATCTCAGTTCCCAAGGCCTCTGTTGACTTGGCTGCCAGGGCTGTTTCTGTTTATGCTGGTTGCCCCTGAAGTTGTGGACAGAGGCTTGAGGTCCCACTAGTCTTCTGGGCCTAAGGGCACTCATGTCTCCTGACTATCAGCAGCTACTCAGAGCTTCCTCCACCTCCTTAGGCTACATTAAGTGCTCTAGTCTTGGGGTAAGCCCTACTTCCTTCTCCCTGTTTTTAGAGGTGCTAGGGAGGCCAACTTGGCCAACCTGCCCAACTCATCCAGTAGAATTCCCCCCAAAAGGCAACCTCCTTGGCAAAACCAAGGACCCTTCTGCTCCTTGTCTGTGTGACTGCTAAGTGTGGTGCATGCTAGTCACCCTCCCCCTTTGTACAGAACCTTCTCCTGTGTGTGCTTTGGGCCGTGGTCTCCTTAAGCCATCTGATCCCCCTCTGCTTTATATCTTTCAGAAGTGGAGACCTCACCCCTCACCCTCTCCAAATGACCCTTGTCTTTGTAGTCACAGCCCTGAAGACCTTGGGCGGCCCCACACTTATGGTTTCCTTGATCCGTCTGATTTCGGTCTTTCAGTATTTCTCCACCTTTCTGGGCCATTGAATACATTCTTTCTTGTCTTCCAGTGTTATTATGGGTGTGTGTTTTTTTTTTTTTTTTTTTTAAATCCTTCTGTTGTTTCTGGAGAATTTTTGGTGGAATGAAGGAGTCAACAAACTAGAGTATCAGAACCTGTGAGTTAGTTTTTAAGAGCATAGTTCTGGAGTCAAATACACATGAATTTGACTCTCAGTTCTTCCTCTTATTAGCTGTGTGCCATTTTCTTACTTCTCTAAGCCTTTCTTTTCTTATCTTTTACATGGGATCATTATTATCGTGACACTTCAATGAGATCATGCACTCAAGCCCTCACCAGAGCCTCTAGCAGAGTGAACACTCGGTGTTTAATCTTTTGGTTAGTTTTATCATTGTTTTTATTCTTGTTTCTGATTAAACTAAGCCTGGTTAGTTGAGGTCCATTCATGTTACTTGCATTCAACCCTCTCTTGACCTCACCAAGAGCAAGTAGGCTGATGCCTCTTACTCTCTTCCTACAGCCCAGCTCCATCGGCTGGAGGGGCTGAGGACCATCGGCGTCACCACCAATGGCATCAACCTCGCCCGCCTGCTGCCTCAGCTCCAGAAAGCTGGTCTCAGTGCCATCAACATCAGCCTGGACACGCTGGTGCCAGCCAAGTTTGAGTTCATCGTCCGCAGGAAAGGTGACCATGTAGCTCCCAGGGGAGGTGCCCGCCCAGGCCCTGGAGCTGGGGCTGGGGCCAGAGGCCTGGGCTCTCACTCTTGGGGTCTTGACTAAGGAAAAGCCTGGGCTTTACCCCCGACCCTCTCCAAATGCCCCTTGTCTTTGTAGCCACAACCCTGAAGACCTTTTGGGGTCAGATGCTAAGAGCTATGGTGACCATCTTCCCCGTGCTCTGTCCCCAGTTTGCTCATGTCTAAGAATTTCATTTTGAAACCAAGATAGCCCCTGGCAATCTGAGCTGAATTGGTTGCCTTGTGATGAGTTTCGAAGAAGTGTGGGGCTGCCCAGGGTGGAAGCAGCAGCCCTGAGGTGCCAGGGTCGGGACCAGCACTGCCAGGTGGAGGTCCCCCAGCAGCCCCCAAGGGTGTTCCCTGTGCCCATCCTGAATGTAAGCCTCTCCCTTCACCCCTGCAGCAGGGACTCCCACAGCCTCCTCCTACTGGGCTTCATCGGGGAGGGCAGAACAAGACGGAGATCCACCAGAGTCCCCTGTGGTCTCAGGCCGTGGGCTTCACATTGGGACAGAGGTTCCGGCCTCTCCCTGTGCCTCCCTGCTCACAGTCCTCCCTGTGCTGAAGTGCTCCCAAGGCCTCGCCTCGCCCTCAGCGAAGCCTGCTCCAGGCACTAGGAGGGGACAGACAAACAGGATATTGCCCTGCAGGACAGGCTCGTGAAAAGGTGTGAGGCCACTAGGTTTGTTTAGTGGTGTCCATTGAATTGCCAGCAAGGGAGAGAGAGAGCTATTGCACATTTCTCCTTTTGCCCTCCTTCACCGGGCCAGAAATGCTGTGAAGACATCCTTTCCCTCAGCTGACATCCCGGCTAGGAATCCCACATGATCTGCAGATTCTGCGGGCTGTGGGTGGGTGAGTGAGATTAGCAGGTAGTGGGTGCAGGAGTGAGCTGAGGGGAGGACAGGCCAGCATGGGTGAGAATAGAGACAGGTGAGAACCACATGCATGGGAATCGCTCACCAACCCTGACACAATCACGCACAGTAGGTGCTAGTGAGAACGTGTAGATTGTATGAACAGGGGCCGTTGGGGAGGAGGCCTGGGTACAGGTCAGGACCCTGTGTTCTGAGATGCAGTGTGTGGCAGCCAGCAGGGCCCTACTTCTCTGGGCCTCGGTTCCCTCAGGACTGAGAAGGCCCCCCAGGTCTGCATTGCGCACTACAGCCCCGGGGTCAGACCCAGCCCCTGCCTGCTTTTAACAGCCTGTGAACCACGAATGGACTTTGTAGGTAACATTTGCAGTCAGTTTAATGATAGAGAACATTAACTATGAACCCCAACCAAGCAAAATATTATCCTTGTAAAAATAACTAATTCCTTCCATTTTATATGTGGGCCTGTATTACCAAAAACTATTCTCAATCATTATCATATTCTGAATTGAGCCAATGAAATCTTTATGACATACGCCTACATAATATCCTCAATTTTGCCTCTTGGCCTGCAAAACCTAGACTCTTTACGACCTGGCCCTTTACAGAAAAGCTTGCAGGCCCGGCCTCTGGTCTCAGAGATACCTTACTGCTCTGTGCTTCCTCCCAGGCTGTGAGGGAGGGGCCCGGGGAGAGGGAGGAGGTTCCTGACCGTTCCTCTTCCTCCCACAGGCTTCCACAAGGTCATGGAGGGCATCCACAAGGCCATCGAGCTGGGCTACAGCCCTGTGAAGGTGAGGGGGGGGGCACTGCTTCTGTCCCTCCTCCCTGGCTTAGCCTTTCCCTGCCAGCTCCCGGCCACCACTTCCCTACCCACTGCGTGCAGCCCTGCCCCTCACAACGCAAGGGAGGGCAGAACTGTGACCCCCATGGATTCCTCCAACCCAAGGAGAGCTGTGGGGTGAAGGGTAGGGACCGGGACCTCCACTGGAGAGCCGAGGCAGGTCCCAGATCCCCCAAGGTCACCCTTGCAAAACAGCCCCGAGGGACAGCGCTCACGGTCCCTTCACCCCGGGCAGGTGAACTGCGTGGTGATGCGCGGCCTGAACGAGGATGAGCTCCTGGACTTTGTGGCCTTGACCGAGGGCCTCCCCTTGGACGTGCGCTTCATAGAGTACATGCCCTTTGACGGTCAGTGATGTGGGTGCGGAGGGCAGAGGAGGCTGGGCCTGCGGGCAGAGCATGGAGACCCCATGGAGGGTGTGTGAGGCAGCAAGGCCTGGCTCACACTCAGGGTGCTGCTGACCTCCGACCCTGCTGTGTGTCTAGAAGCTTCTCCAGAGATGGTGGGGAGGCCCAGGCAGGGCTAAGCTAGGGCTGCATGGGCGTCGGAGGCTTTTAGGAGGGGCCTCTGGCTCCAGGGCTGTGCAGGAGGTTGGGCTCCTGCCGTGCTGGACTGGGAACCTCCAACCCCAATACAGGTAACAAGTGGAACGTCAAGAAGATGGTCAGCTACAAGGAGATGCTGGACACCTTGCGGCGGCAGTGGCCGGAGCTGGAGAAACTGCCCGAGGAGGAATCCAGCACGGCCAAGGTGGGGCAGCCTAGGGCTGGGCAGAGGGAAGTTCGAGAGAGATGGCGGGGGCCCCGGGAGGTCAGCGAGCAGCAATGTAGGGCAGTGCCAGTTAGCAGGACGCCCCTCGGTGCCAGCATAGCAGCCTCCCTTTTCTGGATACAGAGGATATGGAAGCGGCCGGGTGTGGGACGGGGGTAAAGTGAGTTGACATAGGACACAGGCCAGTAAGAGGGGGAGGGGTGCTAGGTCTACTCCTCCAGGGGCCTGCTCTGGCCACGGTGCTCTGGTCCCCGTATCCTTAGCTGGTCTCCTCGCAGGCCAGGCACGGGCAGAGCTCATCCCCGACTCGTGTACCTGAGTCTTCTGTGGTCTGAGGGCCCTGGGTACTCCCTTCTGAAGGCTTTCCCAAGAGGCCATGGAGTGAGGGCTCAGGTAGGCAGGGAGAGCGGGCCCTCCCGCCCAGGTTCTGCCACTGCCCTTCTCCCTCCTCGCCCAGACCTTCCGCGTCCCTGGCTTCCGAGGCCAGGTCAGCTTCATCACGTCCATGTCTGAGCACTTCTGTGGGACCTGCAACCGGCTGCGCATCACAGCCGACGGGAACCTCAAGGTGAGTGTCCACGTCCCTCCCACTGGCCCCAGGTGGAGGGGAGACAGCGGGGCACACAGGGTCGGGGGTGAAATAGTGTCAGCTTTGGGGAGGTCATGGGAGCATCAGGGGAAGGTGAACTCATGACATTCATGGGACCTCCCTTCCTCCCTCCCCTTTTCCTTCTCCCTCCCTTCCTTCCTCCCTCCTCCTTCCCTCCCTCCCTCCCTCCCTTCCTCCTTCCCTGTAACTTGCAGCTGATTGGGAGCCACTTTCCAGGACTTGGTGCTACCATGGTGGGGGAGGTGGTGAAGAGTCACTGTGCACATTGCCACCCCTCCTCCCCCCGCTCTGCCCAGTTGGCCCCTTCAGCCAGCCAGGGCTCAGCTCTGAAACCAGCCTCGTTACTCATGTCTAATGAGCATGTGCTGCATGCCTACCCTGAGGGATGAAAGGGAGCCATAGACCTGCCCTCCGCTCCCCTTAGGGGTGCACAGGCTCCTTGCTAAGACCAAACAAAGCTGTGAATGTGCGCAGGTGCAGGATTCTTGGTCCAATGAGTGATGACCTAAGGGTGATGGCTATAGGGGGTGGGCCTGAGGACAGTGGTGGACCTCAGTGAGCCTGGAGGATGGCTGGGTGGAAGTGAGGGCAGGGGAGGAGGCATCCTGGGCAGATCACAGTTGGACCCGGGAGAAGCATGGTAGGGGTTCTAGTGCCCAGGGAGAAGGTGCGGAGTGTTCTGTTGACCTGGCTGTGCAGGGTTTCTGAGCAGGAGGGAGGCCTGGTCCCCTGTTCACGTTTTAGGAAAAATAGCCTGAGCTGGGAGCTGGAAATAGGAAGACCGGTTAGGTGGCCATTTCGCGATGTCCCAAATGTGCAAGAGGGGGCGGAGAAGGTGGGAAGGAGGAAAGGGGACGTGGTCGCGCAGGTGGCGGTGGGAGAAAGGCGTCAGGGATGTCCACTCTGGGACCCGGTTAGGACTGAGGGGCGGGATGGGGGAGGAGGTCTCAGATGCTTCAGGTTTGTCATCCAAAAGGAACACTTCAGCTGTTACTAAAAAGCAAAAAGGTTTTCCTGGGCTGGGATTTAAAGTGGACCTGAACTGTGGGTGGTGAGTCGGAGCCCTGCAGGAAATGGAAGGTGGGGTTCACTGGGCTGAGGGAGCAGGTGAGGGGAGCTGTGAGGGGTGTTGAGGCACCCTATGAGCAGCAGCTGGACCCCTCCTGGAGGGAGCAGAAGGGGAGGTGGTGCCATTGGGGCCAGTGAAAGCGGAGGCTGTGCAGTTGTCATGGAGGGAAGCAGCCGCTCCAATGAGTCAGTCAAGGGGAGGAAGCAGGGAGCAAGCGCCAGCCTCCCTTTCCTCTCACGCTCTCCTCTCCAGCAGCCCAGGCCCAGGCAGAAGCAGCTGGAGGGGCCTGGAAGGTGCAGTCTGGGCCTCCTGGGGGCAGAGAGGGGAGGAGAGTAGAATCCGGGGCCTGGTGGGGAGTGAGGATGGGAGCAGCTCGGTGAAGTAGGTGGACCTTTTGCTTGGATTTCACTCCTGTCTTCTCTGGTGGTCTCCGCCCTCAGGGGCCCCGCAAACATCCTTCTGACTCTGAGTCCACAGAGCCTTGTATAGCGCTGGCACGTAGTAGGTGCTTTATAAGGTTCTTTGGGAGGGTGGTGGGTCTCTTTCTTTCTGGAGCCCCCAGAGCTCCAGCCTGACCACAGGGTGGCCTCCCCCAGTCCTCTACTGTCCACTCTGGCATGGGACAGGGCAGGCAGGGGATGTCCATGAGACGGGGGACCAAGAGGGCCCGAGGGAGAATGGGTCATGCAGAGGGACTTGCTAGGTCTCAGCGAGGACTCCTCAGGAGGCCATTCCAGGGAAGGTCCCGGAAAAGGGTGCATTTGGATGGCTGTCTCCATGGTCAGCGATTCCATTTTTTAAGGTGCACTCTCCACGCTAAAGGCGACAGGGTCGTAAGCCAGAGCCAGGCCAAGGACGCCTGAGTCTGCTTCCTGCCCTCCAGCCTGACTCCTCCACCCGGCGCCTTCTGCCCCTTGTGCCGGGAAGTCCTGCCCTGACTGTGCCTGGCCGTGGGAGGCCTGGACGCTGGTCCCAGCCCAGAGGGTTCTTCAGGGATGGGCCAGGAGAGGGATGCAGGACGGACGCACATTGTCCTCACCCTGTGACACCCCCTCAGGTCTGCCTCTTTGGGAACTCCGAGGTCTCCCTCCGGGATCACCTGCGGGCGGGGGCGTCTGAAGAGGAGCTGCTGGGGATTATCGGGGCCGCTGTGGGCAGGAAGAAGCGGCAGCATGCAGGTAAGGAAGGCAGGGCAGGCCAGGGTGGGTGAGTGAGTCACTGTCAGCAGGAGGGAAGCAGAGTTTGGATGGCTGGGAGGACAAAGCACAGCCTGACGGGGAGCTGGGGCCTCAGCGTTGGGATGCCTTGATGGTTCTCCTGGGAGGCTGGCACAGTGGAGACTACAAGGGGCGGGTCCCCGAATTCTCCTGGGCTGTTTTATTGGTGGGGAAAGGGGTGTCATTGCCCCTCCCTCTCTCCTCACACAGGGCCTCTGTCAGGGCAGGGCCTGGTGTCAGACTTCTGGGCTCGGTCCTAGGGGGCCTGCAGTACACAGTGGGGGCTTTGCCAGGTGCTTCTGGGTGAGTGCATGTCCACGGGCTGTCACCCCACTATGTCATGTTTGTGTCACGACCTGTCCCTCCTTCTCTCTCCTCCCCCGCTCTCCCTCCCCACCCTCCCCTCACCCCAGGCATGTTCAGTATCTCCCAGATGAAGAACCGGCCCATGATCCTCATCGGTGGGTGACCCAGCAGTACGTAACCACTCACCCTTGTCATTGGGGTTCCGTGGGGTGGGGCCCCCTGCCACAAGGCACCCCTAGATCTTGCATTTCATCCCGATGCTCACAGCCCTGTTTTTCTTCTGCTCCCCTTCATCCTGTCATGCCACTCCAAGCTTTGACTGCCTCCGCTCTTCCCTGTGCACACACCCCTCACCCAGCATGACGCAGGAATAGTCACTGTCTCACCAGACACTGGGGGAGGGGGGGTGTCCTCAGATTTAATGATCACCAAGCTGCCTCCCAAATGTGGGGCTCTTGGTGAAGGCAAAGACCTTATCCTGGGCTCGGGAACGTTGTAGCTCAGGAGCAGTGACAGGTGTCTCCTCCCCTCTGGAATGTGGGCCCAATCCTGCATCGGGACCATTGGCCCCCATTGGGCAGTGTGTCGCTAGCTTCTGCGTAGGGCAGGGCATGAGCAGCAAGCTGAGAGTGCGACTTTCAGGTTTCTTAACTCCCAGGAACCATGCAATGAGGACCTCTCTCATTGGGTGGGATGCCGCAAACAAAACACCTCTCATACAGAGCTGCCCGCGGTGTCCTCTCTCTCCCCCCCCCCCCCCTCTCTCTCTCTCTCAGCTTTGTGCTCTCCATCCCCCCCCCCCAACGGTGTGGGCAGAACTGGAGTCGGGGAGGGAGGGTTGTGAGAGGAGGCAGGGAAAAGATGCCCTTTGCCCTGAGTCTGTCTTCCCCTTCCTTCTTGCCTTCCAGAACTGTTTCTGATGCTCCAAGATTCCCCACCAGCCATTCCAAGCGTTTCCTCTTGGGACCCACTCGGCGTTCAGGGTCTGAGACGCAGCGTGCGTCTCTCCATCCAGGGGGCGACCCTGTGGAAGGGCTGCCGGGTGCCCCAGACGCCTCCCCTCGCGCAGCGGGGGCTGGGGGCTGACTCCCCTCAGAGACACTACTCCTCCCACCCGGACTCAGACGCCAACCCAAAGTGCCTTAGCCCCGCGTCCCGGGCTCCTGCCGCCCACTCAGGATCGCTGCCCGCCTCGGACCAGCTCACCCACGTGGACACGGAAGGCCGGGCAGCTATGGTGGATGTGGGTGGAAAGCCGGACACAGAGCGAGTGGCCGTGGCCTCCGCCGTGGTCCTCCTGGGGCCGGAGGCCTTCAGACTCGTCCAGGAGAACCAGCTAAAGAAGGGAGATGCCCTGGCGGTGGCCCAGCTGGCCGGAGTCCAGGCCGCCAAGCTGACCAGCCAGCTGATCCCCCTGTGCCACCACGTGGCCCTGAGCCACGTGCAGGTGCGGCTGGAGCTGGACGGCGCACGCCACGCCGTGGTGATCCAGGCCTCCTGCCGGGCTCGGGGCCCCACCGGGGTGGAGATGGAGGCCCTGACCTCAGCCGCGGTGGCCGCCCTCACCCTGTACGACATGTGCAAGGCGGTCAGCAGGGACATCGTGTTGGGGGACATCAAGCTCATCAGCAAGACGGGGGGCCAGCGGGGCGACTTCCACCGGACCTAGAGCTCCTGCCCTCTCACCCACGGCCCAGCCGGGCCACGAGGGAAAGACGTCTAGTTCCTTTAACCCGTCACTGTTGACCTTCGCCGGTAGGAAGCCCAGGTCAGCCCATGCCTTCCTGCTGATGGTGACCTGCGAGGTCGCCTCTATTCGGAGAGAAAGCAGCAGGCCCTTCGTCTTCCTGGACACTAGGTGACGGGAGGGGTCACAGCGGGCGATGCCGGATGGCAGAAGTCAGCTGTGTCATCTGCAGGCCATTCAGATGGCCAGTTTCGTGGCTCGCTCTGGGCTTTCTCTCCTGCTGCTTCCCTGGGGAGAGGATGAGGCTCACAGAGCAGAGGAAGCCGCTGCGAAGGGAATGCACAGTGACACTAAGAAGGTACGGGACTTCTCGTCTGGGAGCCACAGCCCTGCCCACCCTGCCTCTCCGCTCTCCGCCCTCCGCCCTCAGGAGGAGAGCCCGGCCCTTCAGACCTGCGGGCTTCCGGTTTAACAACGCACAGTCCTGCCTGCTCCCTGACCGCCCCCCCTAACAGGACCCACAGGGCTGCAGCCCTCAGGACTCCTGGCCAGCCACTCGGGTGGCCCCTGGCCCCTGCCTGCACTGCTGTCCCCCCCACGCCACCCCTTTATTCTGGAACATATCAGGGAAAGAAGAGAGTTGGAGGTTGCCTTCACCCTCAGCGCACAAATAAAGCCTGGATGCCAACTCCGGAGACGTGGGAATGAGGACGGTCTGTGCACAGGGCACACAGCCGCTAGGATTTCATGCCCACCCTGCACACAGCCCAGGCCATGCCCCCGGGGAGAGGAGCAGGAGGGTGCTGGAGAGGCCGCAGGTGCACGCCTACCCTCCATCCCCATTCCCTGTGGGAGAGGTGGAGGCGAGCTGGGTGTGGAAGGCTGACGGTAAGACAGTCGGGGAGGAGTCCGAAGCTCATCACTGGCCGTTAGAGATCAGGAACTGGTTAGAGGTTCCTGGGCTTCAGCCCAAACACCTGCCTAGGCTGCTGGGCCCTTGAACATGGATGTGCCTCCTTGGGCCTGTCCTTGGGACTTTCCACCTGCCTCCCACTGCTCAGCCCGGGAAAGGGAAGGCCACACTCCCGATGTCAAGCTTCGGCCCTTGGCGCTGGGAGGAGCTGGCTCCCCACACCCCAGCCCCTCATAGGAAGAAAGGAAGCACGGGTTTCAAGGCAGGCTGGGTGGTATGGGTTTAATATTTTTTAGTATTACAATATATTCTTATAAAAAAGGTGCGGGTCAAAAGGACGCTGCCCATTCCGTACATCAGCCTCCTCTGTCCTCTGAGACTGTGGGCGAGAGCGGCCTTGGCAAGAAGGCGGCTCAGTGGGTGGGAACAGGATGGGGCCGGGGAGCCTGGGCCAGACCCTTCCCTGCCCCCTGGAGATCTTGCTCTTCCCATGGCCCTAGACACACCTTCCATCATGGGTGGGGGGGTGTTGCAGGGGACAGGTTGCCTTAGTTAAATGGATTTTACATTGGACACAAATTAGACAGAGGGAGACATTCACTGAGGGTGGCGGGAAAAGCCCTGGAAGAGACCAAGGAACACAGGCGTAAACATGAAGCACATCCAGGACCAAGGCGGCCAGCTCCACGGGGCACCGTTCCCTCAGTCAAGTCGGCAGCGATGGTCTGTGGTCCAAGGCACTCGTGGAGATCTGGTGACAGTGGCGTCTGGTGCCAGAGCCACTGGCCAGATCTTGAAAACAATAAATAGAGAAAGGAACATCGGGGTGAGAAGCCAGAGCCCTGGAACAATGCATGTGTCCTCTAGAAACTGTGGAGTCCAACTGCTCTCCTGCGCACCCCACTTGTCTCTGTCCGCTTCCATATCCCTCATCTTCCATGGGGCACATCCAGTCTCCGTAGCAGGTGGGAAGGCCAGGCTTTGGCACAGCTGTTGGATGGCAATGGAGCCCGACCTGTGCCCTGCCCTGTGGGTTAGGTGCACCCCAGCCAGGTGGGGAGAGGAGTCCGGAGGCCCCACCTACTACCTCCCATCATCCCAATGCCAGTCCTTAGCAGGCTCCTGGGTGTGCCAACGAGTAGCACAGCCCTGCAGTTCTTCCCAGAAGCCTTCGCCTTGCCCTCCCCTGGGCTCCAGGATGGCCCTGCACCCAGGTCCTGGCCACACTTATGTTTTCTCTAATCCTCCCCCTCAAACCAACACACATGCTGGGCTCACCAACCCTGTTTCTTCCCCAGAAGCTATTATGGCCCCACCGCCAGGGGTCTGATGTGGAAAAGAGGCAGCTGGATCGTGGGCCCAGCCCACCAGTCTGTCCACTGGCAATAACCCTGAGCCTGAGCCAGGAGCAGGTTAGAAGGGCGACACATAAAGGGAGGGTCAGGAGAACAGGAGACGAGGAGCCCGTGGATGGGGTGCAGGCAGAACGGAAGGTGAACTTGGGGAGGGGGCGGTCATATTGAAAATAAGAGTCCTGATGGAAGTGGCCTCACCGTCACTTTTAGAAGACATTTTGCTTAGATATAGCCATCGACTCACCCGCCCAGGGTGCAGAATGGGAAATGGGAATAGACAGGAGGACCAGAGTGAGCCCCTGGGAGGCAGGTTGAAGAACCAATCAGGTAGCGATGATGGGGGTGGCCGTTCAGGCAATGCCCTCCCCAGGAAGTCAGCCTCCCCAACTCCCTCTGCCCAGCTTCCCCGCCTGCTCCAGCCCAGGTCCGATGGCCTCAGAGGAGGAGACATTTCTGAGATGGTGTGTAAGTGCAGAGGGTAGCCCGGCCCTCGGGACCCTCTCAGGAATTGACCCCTTAGCCAGCCAGCCATCCACTCAGGGTTAGAGGGGGCCTCCTGAGTGCTGGACAGGATGGAGGTCCCCACAGCTCCTACCCTGAGGCAGACGTCAGAAAGAGTGCGAGGTCTGAGGAACGCGAATGGTAGACTAGAAAGCTCTGGTGCGGGGCTGTGTGAGGTCAGTTTCTCAGGACCATGGCCCAGGGTCCCAATGCCCAAGGCACAAAGTATGGTGATGAGGGGGGGGGTGTCTTTGTTGCAACCCTTCCCTTATCAGACTCATCAAATACCTGATGGGGAGCTGTAGCCAGGGAACCCATAGGTGGGTTTTCTGGGATTCTAGGTTAGCAGACAGGACGGAGGTGGCAGTGGGAAGGATGGGGGAGACTTAGACATGTGAGAGGCTGGAGTGAGTGGTGATGGAGAAAACAGGCTCTGCTACTCCGCGTCCTGAGGACTTGGTCCCTGTGGTACCCTCAGCATCTTTCCTGGAGCACGTCTAGGATACATAGTGCCTCTTCCTTTCCATCAGGAGGGCAGGGGGCTCCTAGATCCATGGCCCATCAGCCGCCTCTTGAAGGCTGTGAGTCTGGATCTCTCACCTGGTCTCGGGGTGCCCTCCTGCCCAGGTACTGCCCACCGCACATGAGAACTGAGCAAGACCCAGGGACCTGTCCAGGCTGGATGTGGGCGGCTCTGTGCCAGCATGTGGGTGCCGAGCCTGCCAGGGAGGTCCCAGTGGGCCTCCGAGAGTGATGCTGGGGCCTGGAGGCAGGACGAGTGATGGGAAGAGGAGAGGGAGCAGCCCTTCAGGTCCATGTGGGAGACACCCGGTCCTGCCTCACGTAGCCGCACCCCGGGACCCAGCCCGGGGCTCTCAGCCGAGCACCACGTGGTTAAGTGTCCTGCCGCCTCCACGCCGCCCCTGGCCATCCCTGTCTCCTGGCCTCCAGCGCGGCCAGTGCCCAAGTCAGCAATTCAGCCTGTTGATGGCCCGCTCCCGGGTCACTTCCAGGGCCAGGTTCCCCGATCGCTTGCGGCTGCGCTTGAGCTTGCACAAGTCCTTGTCGAAAACCTCCCCGGAGCGCAGGGCTGACACCAGGTCGTCGAACTCGCCGCCCTCCTCCAGGGTGTTGCCCGCGTGGACCTTCCGCTGCCGCTGCCACCGCTCCCGTTCCCGCTGCTCCTTCAGCTGCAGGGGAGGGGGACAGGCTGAGGCCGGGCAGCCACCCCCGGACCTACAGGCCATGTCACCCAGCAGGGGACCTCCCCCACTGTGCCCTGGGATGCCAGTGTTCACCAACTGCCATCCCACCACCACCACCCAGGATGCCCTGTGCTCTCTCCTCTAAGGCGGAAGACATTCTCTCCCCTGTGGAGTGGGGGGATTGACATCAGTCTCTACAGTGCTTCTCGACCCCTGTCCTCCTCACACACCCCAACCATTGACCCCTGGGGGCACCCCACTGGGACCTGCCTCTCACCCTGCCCGCCACTCACCATGGCTTCCATGCGCACCCGCCGCTCCTCCTCCTCCTTCCTCCTCCTCATGGCCTCCAGGTCCTGCCGGGCCTCTGAGAAGGCCTGCAGGAAGGTGTCAAAGATGCCAAAGAACTCGTCGGGCTGCATCTTGCTGTCCTGCTCCCCAAAGTGCACCAGGGCCTTGGAGAACTGTCAGGGGGAGAAGAATTTGGAGAATCACTCCTGAACATCACGGGCCACATGGTTAGCTGGGTGCCAGCCAGAGCTGAGTCCAGGTCGAAGCTGAGGCATTTGGCATGGGGTCAGGGCTGGAGAAGGGGAAACCCCCTTGTCAGCAGGGTGCAGACAAGGCTGAAGGAAAAGGTGGAGGTAGACACCCTCAAGACGTGGGGGTCCAAACTGGCTGACGAGGCTGCCCAGAGCCACTTCTGAGCCTGTTACGGTGTGAATGCAGGGCAGGAGCTACAGACCTTGGGACCGAACTGCCTGGTCAGAAATCAGAAGGACCTCAGAGATCCTTCTGATAGTTATTGGGCTAGTTGTCCTGTGCCTTGGTTTTCTCATCTGTAAAGTGGGGATGATGATAATAGAATCCACTTCAGTGTTGTTGTGGGGCTTAATGCGTTAACAGAGGTAACCAGGCACTGCTCTGCAGTGAGAGCACCATCTCTGACCCACTCAGAGTCCTCCAAGGAAGACCTCCCTGCCCTGTGTGTGCTCCATGGGCCCGTGTGAGTGCTCCTGTGAGCATCTCTGCACTGCTGGACCTCAGGCCCCATTCCGGACCCCCTGAAGGAGGACACGTGTTTTACTAAAACTCCCACAAACATGTCCACCTGCAAGTCCGTGTGAGAGGCAGGAAATGAGGCCGAAGCTGAGCACCAGCCATTCTAACCCAACTCTGTCCAGCACAGCCAGGCAGCCCGGGCAGTTACCGAACCTCTCTGGATCTCAGTGCACGTATCTGTGGAAAGTGCCAATAACCATTCAACAAACCCATAGAATGCACAGTGAGCCTGCGGTAAAGCAGTGCGCTGCTCAGCACCTGAAGAATGGGTTAGGATCTTTGCATTAGAGTTACTATTGCCTCCTTTTGGGAGTGAGGATGTGGTTGGTCCTCGGGGCTCTGCGACTCTGGGTCTTTCCCTTCTGGGGCACCGGGTAGGCGTAGTGAAGGAGCCCCATCGATGTAAGGCCGAGTTGGAGGGGGTTGGGGTGGGTTAGGCTAAGGTGAGCGGAGGCTTGGGCCCCTCACCTTGTCCCGGGCCTCGCTGAGCTGGTCCTCCAGCTCGGAGAAGCTAAAGCTGGACACCGTGATGAAGTCGCTCATAACAGGGACGAATTTGTCATTTGGCTCCCGTGCCTGGCGTTTCTGATATTCCAGCTCCTGAGGGGGAGAAGGAAGTGCTGGTTAGATTAGTGGTGGGTCACCTCCCCGCCCACCCTGCCTGTCAATCATGGGGAGATGGGCCTTCCTTTGGAAGAGGAATACCCTGGGTGTCCGTTCTAAGGGAGCAAAGATTGTGAGAGTTATCAGCCAGCCCACCTGCCCTCACCCACCCTGCCATTTTTCTGTCTCTAGACCTGGGCTACCCAAGCATGGCCTGCCACCAGCCACATCGGCCTCACCTGGGGAAGGTGAAGAAACAGACTCTCAGGTCCCACCCAGATCTCTGGGATCGGAGTCTGCCTCTTAGCAAGACCTCCAGGTGATCGTGTGCACATCCAAGCGGGAGACGCATTCCTAAATCTCGCTGACACTGCTGGCCGGGAACCACGCTTTGGGAAGCACTTGATAAATTGGCTGTCACCCTCAGAGCGGCAGTGAAAGGTTCTTCCTCACCTTTAACTTTGTTCTCTAAGCTCATTCTCTGTACCCGTAACACGCCCACACATTCTCCATACCTGTAACATCCCCCTCCCCTCCCCACATGTACTCAGTTAAGATGGGTATAGGGGACAAAGGGTTGGGGACATCCCCACACAGAGCCAGCCTAGCCCAGGGCCAGAGGCAGTGTCATCAGAGGAGCCATCAGAGCAGGAATGGTGGCAACCAAAGACCTAGGTCTCCAGTAAAGAGTGAAGCCAGGCCTGGGAGGAGGTAAGGAGACATGAGGCAGGGACCCCTGGGAATAGTGGTCCCCAGTGTCACAGGGTGCCACCTGCCCCTCACCGGCGCCCAAAGCATGTGGGTCCTCTTTCCCACCTACCAGAATCAGAGTTAAGCATGTGTCTGATCTATCGTTCAGTCCACTCCTCCACCTAGTACACATGTTGGCAGGGACCGGGTTAGTGTCAGGGTCCCTCTTTGAGAGACTAACTTTAAGCCCCGGATAAGCCGATCATCCTCCTGAAGGCTGGCTCTGTGCTAGAGGCTGTGCTCATTATTCTCTCACCCAAGCCATGAGCGCTGGGCCGGGCATGCATCTGACAGGGTCTGCTGCCTGGGGGCCTACCGTCTGACCCAGTGCCCCTGACTGCAGCCCCTCACTCTCACGCATCAGGAATGATGTACTCACCATCTCGACCTCTCTGAGGCCCTTTCTGAGACTGCTGATCTCCTTCTCCAGTTCTGCCAGGCTGTGGAGGGGCACAGAGGGAGGGACAGGAGATGAAAGTGGTCCAGGAGAAGGCAGTTTGAAACCCCGAGGCCTGGGGTCAGTGGGCCTGTGCCCCAGTCCTGCATTGGCCAATAACAAGTAGCCAACCTCCGCCTTCCTCCCCACCCACCGTGCTCTGTTGGTGCTGCTATAGAATCACAGGGTTGAAACTTATGCTCTATAGATCCTCTGAGATCAGACATGGCAGGTTCCTAACACATGGCCTCTGGCATGGATTTATTTTTTACCGCCAGGGAAGAGGTGTAAGTTCATAACTTATAAGTATTACACTTGTAAGCAGTAAGCATTTGATGATGCTAGCAATGTACCACTGCATTTCTCCTTCTACTGAAGATGCTTCTAACAACTTATATATGTTCAGGTCTGACTTTGGTGCCCCACCCATAGCTCCTTGGACCATTCACTGCAGTGCACAGTCCTAACTTCTGCTATGAGCCCTTTTTCTGGGAGCCAGAGAGTAATGCCCCACCCCCTGAGTCCCTCAGCCAGTGACAAACAGGAAATGGTGTATGATGTCCCAGGTCCCTCACCACTTGGTAAGTCTAGAAAGTGTCTTGCACTATCTCCCTTACTTCCTTGGAAAGGGTCAAGCTCCAGCTGCCCCCAGTGGTAGCTGGTGGAATGACACTCCCATTAGTAGCCTTCCCACCCCTGGCTCACTTCCCCATCCCCACTCTGATTCCTGGGAGATCCCTGAATAAAGGTTTGAAGAGCAAATAGTCTGTCTTCATTTGGCAGACCCTGAGACTCAGCCCAGAGTAGCCCCAAGGAGGACATGTGGACAGAGCAAGTGTGGACATGAGAGGATGAGGCCTCAGAGGGACCCCTCACTTGACTTTGGCGGCTTCTGGAAGATGTTGCAGTTCCGAGGGCATGTTCAGGATGTCGGGGAAGTGCTTCTCCAGGATCATGATCATGTAATGGAGCAGAGAGATGTTCCTGTGGGTGAAAGGCAGCTTGTAGCTAAGGGGACGAGGGTCAGTAGGAAACCAGGCAGAGGTATAGAGGAGAGAGGCCACGGGTTGGGTTGGAAATGCAGGTAGGGCCCAAGGGATGAGGGGTGAGGCTGGGGGGGTGGGGGTGATGGAGGCTCAGGAAGCAGGCAGATCGCACCTGTCAATGCTGGACTTGGTGTCAGCAATCTTGTTGAGGCTGGCCACCCGGAACCCGTAGGCGCCCCCACGCTGCCCCTTGTTCATGAAGTTCCCGATGGCCAGGACGATCTCCAGCATCTGCTTCAGACGCCTGCTGCGGATCAGCTCCCGGGAGGCCAGCAGGATGGCTGGGGAGGCCGGGGGGGGGGCAATTCAGATCCTTACAGAGGGGGCTAGGGCAGCTGGTCCCCTCGCACCCCAGCCTGGTGCCACCACAAAGTCCAGAAAAGGAGCTGCAGTGTCTTGCACTCTCAGAGGGGCAGGAATCATGCCCAAGCCACCACAGACCAGCTACCCCACCCCTGGCCACCTGCAGTGCAGGGACCAACTTGCCAAATGCCAATTTGCCAAATAACACATTCTTAGAATGTGCCAACTCTTCCTAAGAATATATTCGAGAATATATTTTTCTTGTGGATATTAAAAGATTATGAATATAGTCTTCCTCTGGATATATATATATATATATATATATATATATATAAGCATATAATACTTTCACTTTTCTAAACTTAGTGATTGAAGTTTAAATTTTAGCACTTTACGTATTGTGGGACTATCCTTACCTCTTTTGAAATGTTGGATTTTATTGAGTATTTTTGAAAAAAAAATTCTCTCAAATTAAATTAAAACATGTCACCAACTGTAATATTCCCAAATTACTTTTGTCCTACAAGATAATTGTGTGCTTTGTAGATGATGGTGTCTTTGATAAAATAAGTGACTTGACATCTGTTGAATATCATTTTTAAAAACATTCCAACCTTCAGGTATTTTAGCCATTTTATCCTCTTAAGTAATGGATTTGCTAGAAACTCAAATTAAGCCAGCGGTGACCAGAACTTCCATAGTTAAGTCTAACATGGATAGCATGACCCTTCTCAGCTACTATGTATTTATGGCAAATGTGCAGAATCAGGAGACAAGTCCTACACTGAAATGTTGGCTACTAGCTGTGGAATTTACCTTTTGGTTATTAAATGTGGTGTTAAGAAGACCAAACTAGCCTATGATCTTCGGCTTATGCTAAACTGAACATGCTTTAAGATGCTGCTACGAAGACAAGATGAGAACCATCTGCTAAATATGTGCAGAAAATCTTCAAGACAGAAAACCTTCAAGACAATCTTCAAAGTAATTGTAGGAGAAGAAGAAGAAAAAAGAGAAAGTGAAGGAAGAGGAAGAGGAGAGGGAGGAGGAGAGAGGAAGAGAGAAGAAGAGGAGGGGGGGTGGGAGAAGGGAAAGAAGGGGAAGGAGAGTAATATAGAAGGATTGTCAGTAGCTTCTGAAGTTGAACATGTACATATTCTATGACTGTTACACTTGAAGGGCATTTGAGTGGTTTCCAGCCCATCCCTTAAATTATAAATACCCTGGTTAAATAAATTATGGTGTATTGATAAATGGAGTAAAATGCAGCCCTGAGAATGAATAACCCAATGTAACTGCACTGACACACAATCATAATGTTGAGCAAAAGAAATAAGTATGGTCAGGACAGGGTCAGTGACGCAGAACTGGAGAGGCTGTCCCACTTCTATAAAGTTCAAGCTGGACAAAACTTTTAGAGAGGAGGGGAGAGCAGTGGTTGGAAGGGGTAATGTTTGAGATAGGGGGCATGAAAAAGGGGCTAGAAATACTCCACTCAACCGGATGTCAATCACACCAGTGAGCTCACGTCACCACAATTCCCCAACTAAGACTCATGATTCTGTGTCCTTTTCCACATGCACATTTCAATAAAAAGTTTACTTTAAAATAGAACTACTTATAAAAGTTTCCAGCAGTTTTTATTGGTTGGGATAGTTTCTCTTTGGTTGATATGCTATTTGAAAAATCTGCAAAGGAATCCTCTTGAAAATGCTGAAATGTTGGCAAAACAGATGACAAGGGTTCAAAGGAAGTCAGTGCAAATGGGGAAAGTCCCGTGTGCAGAGCAGACAGTTCAGATACGTTCAAAAGAATAATGGGCTCATGAATGGATTCATAAGAGCATGTTTACATTTGAAACCATATTCATCTTGACTATATTCAGTAAATGTATTCATAATAACAATCAGTAAATTTAGTATATTTGAAAACGAACATATTCATAAGAATATATTCAAGAAACACTTATGAATATATTCATAAAAGAATTGGTACATTTGTCAAGCTTGGGGAATGGGCCTAGAGGACCTTCTGAGAGGTGGAGGGTGTGTGGAGTGGTGTCAATAGCTCACCCAGGAGCATTTCCTCAGAGAACTGAGAAGAGAAATATGAACCCCAGTCTGCACCATCCTCTGTCCCCACCCCGTTGAGCCCACTGACATGATTCTGTAAGATACACTTGAGCCTCCTCGCCCACCCTTGGGAGGGAGGAGACCTATGGACCCTTCTAGAACAGTAGCTATAGTGATGGCGACCTTCAGGGCAGGTTTTGCCATCTAACCACACCTCGCTCTGCCTGGTGATATGAAAGGCGGACTCCTCTCGGCTGCAGTGACTAACTTGGGGAGAGTTGAGGAGTGGCCCCGGGAATAGGAAGTCATCTGGAGTAAAGCCACTGGATGGCTCAGCTACTCTAGTTCCACAGCCCCAAGTGCTATGGCTTCCATTTCTCCACTGACCCAAGAGACACAAGTAACTGAGCACATATGTCATGGGCTGAACCCCTTTCCTGTGCCTCAGGCCCCGAGGGCAGTGAGCAATAGGACAAAGAAAGCTGTGTGAAGGGAAGGGTGCCCGTTGGCAGGGGCAGGAGGTGTGGGGCCACCACTGACCTGGCTCCCCATTTCTCACATCACAGATCATGGCCAACCTGAAGTGCCCTCGTTGGGTGTGAGTGCTAGTGTGTGGATGTGAGCGTTTGTGTGTGGGTGTGAGCATTTGTGTGTGGGTGTGAGCACGTGTGCATGTGTGTCAGGATCCGAATCACAGAAGATATCTGCCTCTCGCTCTGTCATGCCACATCTGTCCCCAGAAACCTCCCTGAAGCAGCTTGGAGAACTCCAGAAAGGACCATTCTCTGGATGGGCATCCCAGGATGTGCCAGCAGTCCTGGTGTCCAGCAGAGGGGGCCCATGCTCTGCCCCCAGCTAGTCCCCCTCAGCATCCTGGACACAGCCTCCTCAGTTCTGCGTTACTGATCCTGTCCTCACCACCAATGGGCCTCTCAGCCTGGCCTGCATCCCCCGCCTGTCCATAATGGCTACCCACCATCCTACCACCTGCCTCTGCCCACTCCTGCCCCTCCGCCTCCATCTCTGCCATCCCCTGGGGAGTACTCCAGGAGGAGAGTGAGGGGATGGATTTTGAAGAACAACATTGTGTTCCAGTCCTGACTCCACCATGCACCAGTCACATGGCCTGAGGCAGCATTGCCCGATCATCTCAGAATTGAGAATCCTGCCCCCACAGGGTTGTGGTGAGGACCACACGAGACCATCCGAGAGGAGTGTTTCACACAGTGCTGGGCACGTAGCTCTCATTTAATAACAAAGCGCTCGTCTGGACAAGGCCTGTCTGTGTAGGACGGGGTTCTTGCACCCAGAAAACCAGACACCACCTGGGGTCACCTTGCTCATTTCCTATTTTCCGAGAAGTTCACACTTAAAACGATATGCCCAGTAGTCTCCTATGAGGTAAAGGTGGATGAGCTTAAAGCATCCCAGGAACTGCTCTCGGTGCTTGCTATTACCGGTCCCCCCTTATCTGCTGGGGTTATGTTCCAAAATCCCCAGTGGATGCCCCAAACCAAGGACAGTACTGAACCCTATGCATACTGTGATTCTTCCTAGAAGTACATACTTACGATAAAGTTTAATTTATGAGTTAGGCACCGGAAGAGATGAACAATAGCCAATAGTACATTAGGACAATTACAGCAGTAAGTTATGTGAACATGGCCTCTCTCTCTCTGATAGTGGACACGGCTCCTAAGTGACTAATAAGGGGCGTGTTTCCAGCATGGATATTCTGGACAAAGGGATGGCTCACACCCCGGGTGGAATGGAATGGGATGGCATGAGAGTTCCTAATGCTACTCAGAACAGCACACAATTTAAAGCTCAAGAATTGTCTATTTCTGCAACTTAATATTTTTGGACCATGTTGACTGCAGGTAGCTGAAACCATGGAAACCCCAGACAAATGTTATCATTTTTTCAGCATCTCTGTTCCATGCTAGGGCAGATGTCACAGATCCTCGCCCTAGAGTTTGCATGCTGAGGCAAAGGAATGTGTCCATGCGTGGCACATGAGCGAACATACGCAAGTGCATATATCTACAAAATCAGCGTTAGAGTTTGTGTTTGATTTTGGATTTGGGGGGGATTTTCCTCTTCCTGTTCCTGGACTCCCTCCCCAGCCTCCCCAGATACCCCCCCTCTCCGGCTTCATTTTCCTCTTCCTCAACCCCCTCAGCCCTACCTTCCACTTTGGGCTTGGCCTCAGCCAGCCGCTCCTGGAACTTCTTCTTGAAGAAGAGGGCCTGCAGGCGCTGCTGGTAGTGGTCGATCCTGTGGACAGGGAGGCTGTGTCACAGGCGGCCCCCTCCAGCCCCGGCCCCGGCCCCGGCCCCGGCCCCGGCCCCAGCTCCAGAAGCAGACAGGCCCCTCCACAGCCTGCCTCCCCCCGCCCCTCCTGCCACACCCATGGCCGACCTGCTCATTTCATAGAGGAAGCGGTCAGCACGGGCCATCCGCTCGATCTCATGCTTGTGCTCCTCAAGGAGGTCAATGTCACTCTTCTCCGGGATGAACTTGAGGAGCTGGAAAGAGCAAGTGAAGGTCAGACAGGAAGCTGGTAGGGTGGCACAGCACACATAAGCCCACACTAACAAGCTCAACCTGGGGAGACGTCCCCTTAAGAGTCAGGCATCCTCTGAGGATGGTTTGCATTTCCTCTGCCCGAAAGGAACGGCAGGGCATCTGGTTTTAGACTTCCTTCCTCCCTCCCTTTTTCTTTTCTTTTCTTTCTTTCTTTCTTTCTTTCTTTCTTTCTTTCTTTCTTTCTTTCTTTCTTATTTTTTTTACTTTTTTATAATTAAGAAATAACTTACATAGAGCAAAGTACATTCTTCTTAATTATACAGCTCAGTGATTTTCTTTTTTTAAAACCTTTATTGAGGTTGTTTATACAGAGTAAAACATGTCCCTTTAAATGTGCATGTCCGTGAGTTTTATGAAACTACCCACCACCACCCAGACAAGATGCAGATTTCCTTCCCACCAGAAAGTTCCCTTGTGTCACTTTAACCAGCCAGCCCACCCCTCCACATAACACAGCCTCTCGGCTGAAGTTTGTCCCCTTAGGGTTGATGTGCCTATTCTTGAATTTCTTATAAATGGACTAAAGGTGTATGTTCCCTTTAGTGTCTGCCTTCTTTCACTCAACACAGTGTCTGAGATTCATCCATGCTGTCAGTATGGATGGTCTGTTTCTTGTTCATTGCTGAGTAGTATTCCACTGCAGCGACATACCACAGTCCATGCTTTCCTACCGATAGACAGTGGGCCGCTCACAGGTGGGGGTCTGAGTATATCCCAAGTGCTTTTCCAGATGACTGTCTGGAATGACAATTCCCATTGCCTGCCCTCCCAGCCCACACTGGGGATGGCCGGTCTTTCTAATCTCAGCTGTTCCGGTGGGCGTGTGGGGCCATTTCATACCCCTCACTTCCACCCTGTTTCTCTAATGACTGAGAAGAGCCACTTAGAAATGCTCCTTCATGAAGTACTTGCTCAAGCTTTTGCTCATTTTTAAGTGCAGTTGTCTGCCATATTCTCACTGATTTGTAGAGTTCTGTATTCTAAATATGAGGTCTTTGCTCGATATACCGAAGGCAAACATCCTCTAAGGTTTGGCTTGTCTTTCGCTCTAATACAAAATAACGTAATATAACAGTGCCTTGGATGAACAGAGTTCAGGTTTTTAATGAAGCCCAATTAATGGCGGTTGGGGTTGGCTAAGGGAAGTTTCCAGAAACCTCCCTGCCACTCCTCCAGCCTCCAGCCTGATTGCTCCTTGACCGCTGGGTCTCTTGGGGGGTGGCTGTCGGGAAGGGGTTCACGCCCCCCTGGAGGGGCTCACCTGCTCCAACATGTCCTTGGCGAGGTCCTCCTGCTCATCCATCTTCAGGACGGCCTGGCGGATCTCCTCATTCGAGAGCTTCAACCTAGGCAGAGCCCAGCCCTGAGCAGCCTGGAGGGTGGGTGTCTGCTCCAGATAGACTCCCTTCACTTCTCCCAACTCCCTCACGGAACATGGAGCACAGAGCACTTCGGAGAGTCCTCCCCAGCTCTGGGAAAGTCTCCTTAGACTACACTAACTTGGTTCACTCCACAAAACTCAACGAGTCCTTTTAGTCTCTGACAATGGTGCCTAAGTCTCTGTGAGAGCTGACCGAGGGACAGGGCGTTTGGGAGTAAAGGGGCATCTTGGGTGCAGCCTGAGACATGGGGAGATGGGGTCCTGATCTTCCTCCTCCTCTTCCTGCCAAAAATATCAGTAGCATCTCCCTGGGAGCTCAGGAGGAGGGCAGGCCTCTGAGGGGCAGCTTCCTGCTTCCCTCATTCTGGGCAGACAGAACAACCTCAGTCTGTAACAGCCTCAGCTCCCACACAGCTGTTCAATCAGGTTTATCCGCTTGCTGTCTGCGGAGGGGGAGGAGCCCACCCCCAACACACACACACACACACACACACACACACACACACACACTCTCACACACTCCTTCCCAGCCCCTCCAGGTGCTCAGCCAATGGGAGCCCTGAGGTGCAGACCTCTCCCCCACCCTCAAGGGGGAGGAACAGAGGCCTGGGCCTTGTGGGAGGGAAGGAGAGATGGGTGTCCCAGGGGCAGCTGGGGCAGCACTAAGAATAGTCTGGGAGGCAGTGCCCTCTGACCCTGGCCCAGGCGGGAGGCCCCGCACAGAAGCTGTGCTGTTAGTGCACATACTGCCCTGTTTGTTCTGCAGCCACGGGAAATGCTTGGGGGCTGAGATCATGCTGCTCTGTGGCCTGAGCCTGGGGGCCTCCTTGGGCTCGGAGCCACTCCACCGGCAGACGCTGGCCAGGCTGGTCAGGGGCCTCGAGATGGGGCAGGTTCCTGCGAGCAGAGCCCCACGCTGCTGCTGACATGGGTTCCCGGGGAGGGTTCTAGATCAGGGCCCGTCCTCTTTCCCAGAGGGCAGTGGATAGGGGAGGCCAGAGGCTCTTGTCACCCCTGTCTTCGGTCACCTACTTCCCCCAGCGTTCAAGTCAACCATCTCCCTCCACAGCCCCATCTCAGTCCTCTGCTTCCTGGGGCCTATCCCCTCCCACCAGGAGGGTATCCTGGGGCAGCCCCACAGGCCAGGCTGGGCAAGCACTTACTTAGAGAGCAGGATGATGCAGTTCTGCGCCCTCCGGCCGTCAATGACCGACAGCTCTTTGACCTTGCGGGAGGCCAGGTAGATGTCCTCCGTGGAGCCCAACTCTTTCTGCAACCAACAAGCCACTCAGAAAGGTGAGGTGTGTTTCCCCCAAACCTCTACTCTCCACCCTGCCCCTGAAGGAGCTGCCCCACTCCAACCAGGCCAGGCTCCTGGTGTGAGAGAACGGGGAAGGAAAAGGCTGGGAAGAGAGGAGGGTGGTTCATGATGGACTGAGTAGGAGGCACCTGGGGCTTTACCATAGGCTGGAATGAGTTGGGGGCAACGAAGAAGCCCTTTTTAGAGATCGCCCTCTCTGGGCAAACTAGAGAGGGGCTGTTCCGATGGAAGGAGACACCGATCTCTATGGTTTCGGGAATTTCATAGGATCTACACATCCCCAGAGACCCAACCCCCACTCCCACTGCCCCACCCAAACTCCCCAAAAAGAAGCTGGTTCTAAGTCCCCATGAGGTCACAGTCCCTGGACTCACGGAGACTTCAGGCCCGGCCCAATGTCCTCTGGGTAGAGGGCATCCACATGTTCAGAGGTGGGGAAACCGAGGCAGAATTCCCTGTAGAATTCTCTCCTTGGAGGTTCTAGCAGGCATATTCCCAAAAAATCAAAAACTCTGCCCCCTTCCCTGCACCTTCTCTGAGCTCCTAATGAGCTCCTATCCTGGGAGCTGCCTCCAAGTACGTGCTCCGTGCTGTGCGCCTGCAGGGGCCACCACTCACATGGCTACTTCTGCGAGCTGTGCCCTGTCTGCTCAGTCTTACAGGATGGCCTGGCGGGCCCTCTCCTCGGGTGAGACAACAGACCAGGAGATTCCTCCTCACTCCAGGGCCCATTCACTCCACTGCTGGCCGGGGTCTGCTGTGCTAACCCCTCTCCTACATTTCCCTCTCTCTTTGGGGACCCTCCCCATGCCACCCTGTATGGATGGGGAATGAGACAGAAGGTAGAAAGGACAGGCCTGCTCTTTCGGGCCCAGGACCAGGCAGCAGCCTGGGGGGAGTAATTAAAAGTCGGGGTGTCCAGGCCCCTCAGTGACTCACCTGTTGGGAAGTATTAGTTATCAGCTCCTAGGCAGGCAGCGGCCACAGCCAACAGAGAATTAAACATGCACAACGTTAGCCAAGAGGTACAGGGACCCAGGGATGGGAGGAGAGACATGGGGACCCTCATCTCTATTCCGCCTGCTCCATCCCAACTAGACTGCTGGCTGCAGAAGGGGGCGGGGAGGAACATGCACAGGAGCAGCTTCTAGCAGACATGCACCCCAAGCCAAACTCAGGGGAGGACAGGCAGTGCCTCCCACAGGCCCTGGGCACAGGGGACCCCTGCCACTTCCCATCAGGGCCAAGCAACCCCAGCTGCTGGTCCCAGGCTTTCCTCTCCTCGTCCTGGAATCTGCCCAGAGGGCAGAGGGCACTTTTCACCCCGTGAGTTAAACTTTCTAAACGGGGAGAAAACGCACAGAATTTGAGCGGGACCCTGTGCAAGTTGTGTCCTTGAGACAGAGGGAAGCAGGCATCTCTGAATTTTGCTCCCCGTCCTTTGCCCCTCACTTGCCTGTGAACCTCTCAGGGGAGCTGAGGAGGCGGAGCTCACCGCTGGTTCTCCCTTCCTGACCCTGATGGAGCTGAAATCACTAAGTCAGAACCTACTTAGGACAGAGAGGGAGACCCACAGCTTATAGACGTTGCTCAACCCACAACCACCCAGGTCCCGAGATGACCAGCTCTGCTGCTGTGAATTTAACCCCGACCACTGAGTGACAGTAACCAGGATGAGCTTTGCACTCAGACAGGATGCTGGGCTGTGTGGGCTCAGAGGGCTGTCTGTCTAATTTTTCTCTACTCACCAAATGGGAAGGCCCCAGACCCAACCTCTCCTCAATTCCATAGCCCCTCTTCCCCTACTGGCCCCCATCCCAGCCCTGCCTCCGGATCCTGGAGGAGATGCTCCAACTCCATGGAGGCGTGTGACTGGCCACGCCGGGAACACCCCTTGCAGGCCTACCCTGCATCCCCATTGAAGCACGGACATGCAGGAGCACCAGGCCCTCAGGATGCCTCCATGCAGCCTGGCATGAGCAAGGGCTGAAAATGCCTCCTGTAAGCAGATGCCTTGAGCACCCACATTTAAATGTTATAGACAACTATCTGGCTTTTCTAGAATCCCCACCCCTTTGGCTAGTCCCCTGGGAGCAGGGACACCTGCCCTCAGCCCCCCACTGCCTCAGAGAGGGTCAGCCTCAGGCCTGTACATGGCAGGAAGAAGTGGGGAGCCTGGTCACTACATCCATGGCCAGGAGGGCACAGCCACCATCACTGGCACATGGGGAGTCCTCAGGGCCGGAACCCTGGGCTCAGCAGAGAAACCATGGAAGAAAAGAGCATAGCCCTGAGTGGAAGCAGCCCCTGGAGGCAGGCCAGAGAGAAAGCAAACCCTTTCAGGCCTGGGCTGGTAATGCCCAACTGGACTTGGGGGGCAGCCCCAGACATGCTGCTGCAATGCAAATTCCTAGGCCCCAACCCATTTCCGGACTCACATTCATGTGAGGATGAGGTCCCAGAAGCTGCATTTTTGGCAATTCCACAGGCACTCGGCACAGTTAAGGTCCCTGGCTCGGGAATGCCCTGTATTCTACCACCAACCCCACTTCCTTCATGCTGCTTACTCCTCAGCCCTCTGAACCCAGCACCTGCAGAGCAAAGTCCAGGGCCTCTGCTCACCTGCCCGGGCTTGGTCCAGCCTCAACCTCTAACATGATCTTGAAATATTAGCATCCTCTTCTACCCTACTCTTGGGGGTGTTGAGAGATGAGAGTATATAAGAAAAGTGGTCTGACAAGTTAAAATGCCTTTTAGGTATAGTTCCTGAATCCTGCGACCAAAGAAAAAGCAGGATCAGCAGTGGCCAGCCCCTAGGACTCCACCTCCAGTGCTCCAGGATGAGGGAGAAAAACCACCGCATGCTCATGCATTACTTGATGTGTGAATGCAAACTGTAATACTATGGGATGTCTCCCCTCCTGCACTGCACACCTCTATTTCACATCTACGCTCCCAGCATGCACCTGGGGCCTGGCAAATGATCAAATCATTCAACACATTCAGGATGGAGGGAGGGAGGAGCCATGTGTCAGACGACGCTGTGGGTTTATTAAGGCACAAATGTGAAATCAAGGCTAAAAGTCAAGATCCAAGAGGCTTGAGGGAGCAGGATCTTACCTGGTGCCTCTGATAGGCTGAGAACATTTTTTCAAAGTCTTGTAGGTCCAGAATCCGGAATATCTGCATGTCATCAATCTCATTCCATACGGTGCCAGGGACACGCTCCTAAGATACAGGGTGGGTAGGAGATGAATGGTTGACTCACTTCCTTTTCTGCAAAGATGGCTGGTACCTCCTTACCCCCAACAGTCCCTAGGGGTACACATCCTGACAGCCAGGCGGCCAGACCCTCAGAAGGGGGTCATTCCTCCTCTCTAACCTCCATTCCTCCTCTCTAACCTCCACTCTTCCTCAATACTTGGCCCCAGGATAGAGGGCAGAGACAACCTCCTTCCCCACCTGTCCACATGGGGCCGAGTGTAAGCACGTAACAGAAATCAGTGGGTGAGCTGCGTGAAGGATGGGCGAGTATGAAACTCCTTCCAGAAAAGTAAGTTCTGGGGCCCTCCCCCTGAAGGTGGGCTGGCAGGGTCAGCGGCAGGAAGCATGCCCACACATACTGGAGATCCTTCGTGCAAATGATATTTCCTGCATCTGAGATGGCCATTTTCTCTCCCAGGGGTCTTCCTCCCACTCTCCCCGATTCCCAGAAAGCGGACCAATGTCAAAGGCTGGGACATCCTGTCCCCTCCAGTGACTGCCGGGGCCAGCAAGACTCTACCACAATCTCCTGATGGTCAGACCCAGGGACGATGGCCCCTGGGTAATGACTGAGAAGGGCCCAGGAGTTTACATCCCAGAGCCCCTCCCTATAGGCCTCGCCCACCTCTGTTAGGTCCTGGCATTGAACCCCATTCCAGGGGCTAGGAAGAAGCTGCCAGCCTCTGGGGAAGAGCTGCCAGCCAACCCAGGCCACTCCAGTGGTCCTGAGACACCTGAGGATGGCTTAGAGCCATGGCTCTCAAGTCACATGATACTCTTTGGCCCCTTGAGTGTGGCTCTTCCACAAAATACCACGGCCTGGGTGATTCTGTTTTGAAGAAGTGGCATTAGAAGAAGTTCAAGTTTAAAAAATGTGGCTCCCAAAAGAAATGTCAATCGTTGTACTGTTGATATTTGCTCTGTTGACTAATGAGTTTCCCCACCACTGGCTTAGAGGATGGAGACCAGAGGTCCTCCCAGCAGGTGCTCCACCTCTCCTCCTGGGAACCCACCTCACCTACAGCCCTGCTGACTTTTCAGGTAAAGCCTCCCACCGACCTCTGGCTGCAGGGCGGATGGGGAGCCTTCCTAATGCCCCCGCCTCCTCCCCCGCCTCCCCCTCAGCAAGGCTTGGAGAGAGAAACATACCTTTCACTCACTTTTATTTTCTTAAACTCTGGAAAAGGGGAGGCTAGGCCAGAGCAGGGGGTGGGGACATTCCTGTGGCCTTCCTAAGGCCAGGGACCCTCTTGTGGAATGCCGGGCTGGGAAGCTCGGAGCGGCAAGGGATACAGGCAACTGGCCAAATCCAACACAGACACATTCTTTTCATGGCAGAAGCAGCCACTGTGTGTGTGTGTGTGTGTGTGTGTGTGTGTGTGTGTGTGTGTATGCACAGGAGTACGCGTGGGGTCGGGAAAGAGGAAGGGGCCTGGGGAGAGGGGCCAGGCTCCTGGAATGGGGAAGGTAGTAGCAGAGAGGTGATAGTTGGGAATTGAATTTGGGCAGGCAGGGGAGGAAAACTTCTAATTCAGTTCCCATCTAAACCCAGGCCTGGGGTGCAGGTAGGCACACTGGGAAGGCTCAGAGAGGTGAAGCTTCCCATTGCTCCTCATTCCCAGTGAGGCCAGGATGAGGAAAGGGCAGAATGAGAGGTTGGAATGCTGAACGCTAGGAAGAGAAAATAGACTAAGGGCCAGTGTGTTTTCCCAAACACTCGCCCTCCCCCATATTCTCCACAGGAACTCCTAGTGGGATACACTGAGTCTGGAGCCAGACCGGGGTATGTCTATTCCAGTGTTCTCCACACCCTAAATCTCACCAAGTCACCCTGATGTGCCTGCCATGCCTCATCTTCCCCAAATTTAGTTTTTATGCCTCTCTTCCTGAGATCCCGTCACCTGTGGCCTAGATCCCTGGAGTTTCTGCCCCTCAGGGACAACTTGTGTATGCCAGGGAAATATTTCTCAACACACATTTCACTGTTTCCCTCAAGGAGTGTGTGGGGTCAGCGAGACCAGGCTGACTTGCTCTGTCCCTGTCTCATCACTCTGTGGGACTACTGGCAAATGGAGGGGCACTGTTGTTTTTTCATGTCACAGGGGGGAAACTGAGTCTCAACGGTGCTTACTTACTGAACTCAAGTGTATATTAAGTGAGATAACATACTCAAAGCACACATGGTAATGCCACCTACTATAACCAATCTATTATTATTACTAGAGGCCTGATGAATGAAGATTCATGCAAGAATGGGCCTTCCTTCCCCTGGCTGCTGGCACTGCCTTCACTCTGGCTGGAGTCACTTTTCCATCTTCCCATGCTGCCCAGAAGCCTGGAGCGACTGGGGCCGTGCAGAATGCCTGTGACCTGTCCTACCCCCAGCTGCTCAGCACCTGTGTATGCAAATTAACCCAACAGGTTTTGGGTTAATTTGCATACTCGCTCCTGATTGGCTGGTGGGTGTCATGAAGGTATGGTCAATTTGCATCTTACTCTTTATTAATGTAGATTATTATTAATTTCTATGTGTTAGTTACTTGGCAAGTACCTTCTATGTATTAAAACAACCATTGCTATGGATGTCATAATTACCCTCATCTTACAGATCAAAGAATCTGAAGCCCAAACAATGAATACAAGTCATACAAGTCAAAGCTTGTAGCTGGGATAATAGGTTCACAAAACATTTGACTCCCTGCCACCCACCCTGGCTAAGAAACATCTGCGACTCCCAGGACTGCTCCCTAGTGCTATTCCACCAAAATGGTGCTTTCCAGTCTAGGCATGAGACTGGCCTGTGCTAGGTCCCTGAGGAATTAGTAGGCTTTATTAGTACTGGAGCCCAGAGAAAATCCTAAGCATAAAGCTCTATATGATAAAAAATGTTGCAAAAACATTTTGCCTTGTCTGTATTCCTTAATTGCTAAGGTACCTAATCAACTTTTCATGACATTTTAAAATCATAAAGTAAAAGTTATATGTATAGGAGATGCAGATTATATCTTTTTTACGATAATTTAAAATCATCACTTCTGATGATCAACAATGAACATTCCCACACAGCCTTTGGCCTCTGGCTGCCGGTTCACATGCCCTTGGCTTTCCTGCCTTTCCTCGTAACCATGGAGAAGCATGCACAGGGCATAACTTCAACACAATGCCAAGAGGTGGCTCTAAAATTTTAATAGCTCAGGTTGACGATGTCATCAGAGGCCTAGAAGACTACGAATGGACTGTATTCATGCATCATGTTTCTCCTAGGTCACAGAACCAGAGGTGGAAGGAATCGTAGAGATCACCTTACAGACAAGCAAATGGAGTGTAGACAATGTGAGTTGTTTCACAGGCCACATAGTTAGAGCCAAACCTGGTGTTGTTAGAACCTCTCTTTCAGTCCCTCCTCAGGATCTAGAAGTGTTTCTTTGAACACACTTTCTAGATCCAAAGGTCAGAGGGCACCCATTACTCTCAGCTCCAACCATAGCTACTGTTGAAGGGTGAGTGTGAGTCAGGCCAACTGAACCCAATTGCCTTCTATGTGTTTATCTCAGGGACAAAGTCACTGGTCCTCTTAATAGAACACAGTATAGAACCAGATGCAGGGCTTGACCCAGGCTGCAACTGGCCTTCATTTTTCAGGGGTCATGTGACCCAGGGCATCTATGCTCTATGATCTTGAACATCCAACAGAGAAATCAACTCCACACTTAGGCCTGAAATGGGTGATTAGTGGGTAATATTTGTGAGGGCCTCTCACTGCTGAGCCATCTAAAAAGTAGCACCATTCTCCTGGGAAGATGCCAAAATGGCTATATCTTGGCGTCAAACTCTTCATTGCAAGGGGGTCATAGCCCCTGTCATGGCCTCATTTCAGTCCTTGATCTTTTTCATCTCAGTCCTTGGCCCAAGATCTTTGCCCAGATCGTCTACCCTTTTCCTCAAACTGACTCTGTCCTTATGGTTCCAGTCCAGCCCTTCTCTTGTCTAGAAGGCACCTCTGCTTGGCTCATGCGCTCGAATCTATTATTACTCTATTAATCCCCAGCACACATAAATTCTTTTTGTAGGTGGCTTGGGGAATGTAAGCATAACCACATGACGAGCCATATCCTCCCAGGGTAGAATGTTCTTCCCACTAGAATGAGCTGCGTGGCATCAGCAACCCCATCTTTCACATCCTCTATGTCTACCCTTACACCCACCAAAGAACCCAGGGGCTAGATCTCCAAACAGTGGGGGTGACTGCCCCCCAGCTGTAGGAGAGTGGATGCACTGGCCTCTTCTGGTTACTCACCTCATTCAGCTTGACCCAGTTGAAGGACTTCAGTGGGTGGGAAGGTTGGGGGACACACTTCTTCCTGAGTGAGACTTCACTGCTGGGGAAAGGGTCTGGAGGGACAGGCAGGCCAATGCCGAAGCAAGGTGGGGCACCAGGGGGAGTGGGAGTCCCACCAGGTGGAAGGGGTGGTGGCGGTGGGGGACAGCAGGCAAACGGTAAAGGGGGTGCAGGTGGAGGCAGGTCATTGGTTGTCATTGAGGAAGTCAAGGTAAGTGGGCCTCCAGGAGGAGGTGGGCAAGATACAGGTCCTGTCTGTGAGGAGACAAAAAATCAAAAGAACAAAGCTTTTAGCAATGATACCTTTCAGGTCGCCCATGATTACTCCTTTCCCTACTCTTATTCTCCATCTACACTAGATCCTCCCATCCTGCTCTTATCTCCCACCTACATTGAGCCCCTGTTTTCTCTCTGTATCTCAAACATCCACCACACACCTAACCACAGATAGACAGACACTAAGCAAAGTCAGAGTCGTCACGATGCAACAGTAGGGTTGACACGAAGAGTTGTGTAGGTCACAACCTGCTGAAGGCGGGGGAGACACAAGCCCACCTGCACTCTGCTTCCAAGGTGTGCTTCCTAAGACAGCACCACCCAGAAGAAGGAGCATTATTTTTTCTAAGTAACACAACGGTGTCACCCTTACAGTTTCTTCAGGAGCCCCCTCTATGTGGGGATGAGGCCCTCCTCTCTTCTCCCTCATCCCGGGATCCGTGGCCTCTCCCTATACCTGCTCTTCCCTGCAAATCCTGAAGGTCTCAGCTCATCTATGTGGAAGGAGAGGAGAGGGCCCACGTACCGAGATCTCACTGAGTTGGGCTACCAGCTCAGCCACTTGTCCCCGAGCCTGGCGCAGCTCCTGGGACTCTCGGGCCAGCTTGTCCTTCATCTTGTTTAGCGTCCGCATCATCTCTTCCTTCTCCAGAGTTTTCGTCTCACATTCTCGCTCCTTCCTCTCCAGCTTGCTCACCAGTTCTGTGTGTTCTGGATGATGTGGGGCAGGAGAGGAAATGGAGAGAGAGAATGTGAGTCTGCGTGTGCCCCCCTCCAGAGGAGGTGGGTTCTGGGTTGGGCAGCGAAAGGGGTGTGTGGAGTGTGCAGCAGGTTTAGGCAGAGCTCCTCACCTTTCCGGAACTTCTCTGCCTGGTCTCGCCACTGCTTCACTTCATTCTCATTGACGAGCCTGATGGGGAGCAGAGGGAGAGTCCTGTTGAACACTGGCACTCAGCCTCCCAGCCTAACATTGGTGCCTTGACTCCAGCCTAACTGGTCACATCGAGGAGGATGGGGTTTTGACTCTCCATGTTCCTCCAGGTCCCCATCCCTTCTCAGTTCCCACTGTATGTTTCTCCATGGACTGTGAAAGCTACAAGGACCCCTAGGTGTCCTATAATCTAACCCCTTTGTAGAACAGTTGAAGCTCCTGAGATGAACCTAGAGACAAGATTTTAATAGTAGAACTAGGCCCAAACCTCAGGCTTTCCTTAGCTGTAATGATTTGTACCCCTTTGTACAAATAGGTTTTTGCATTGACAGAGATCAAAATATTGGCACTACCATGGTGCAGGCTTCCAAAGAAACAATGTGAAAAAGTGAGAGAGGCCACCCATTCCAACACAGAATGAGGGTGAAGGGGGCAGGGGTGTCTAAATTATAAGAAGTCCTCATTCGCATCAAACTCTTGCAACTGGGATAAAAGTAAGCTTTCATTTAGACATCAAGGTACAAGAGAGGTGAAACCGCAAGTGAAACCCTAGGAATCATGTCTTTGGTAACCCTGAGAATGTTGAAGAGTGAGATCCATGACTTTGGCCTCCTCCACCAGGCTAAGGCTATAAAAGGGGGACAGCGTAGAAGGGAAATAACTTGTGCAGAGATTTCTTTGGGGAGAACCACTGCCATCGTCCCCGGGGTGCTACCTCCTTCACCTCCATCTGTGAAATGGCTTCTTTGAGCCTCTCAGAGAGTTTTGACCCAGGTTCCTTGACACTTGGCAGGAGGCCTGGTGAACTGGGGTCTGACCTGGGGCTGGGCAGGTCCAGAGAGTGAGGAAGCATTAAGCAGGACAGTGCTTGTTGTTGGCAGTAGCTGAATTGTTTAAAATTCATTTTCTGCTTGTTGTTGAAATGTAATACAACCAATCAGTGAGAGCCTATTTAATCTCCTTAAGGGCAACAGGCTCAGCAATAGGCTGAAAAATAAGTAAAAGCTTGAAATTAAAAACTTTAAATTCAGTGTTTAAAATAAAAATTTTATGCCGAAAGATAAATGTTTCAAATTAAGTTTACCGTAAAATCAATATTCAGAACATAAGGTCTGAATATGATTGATGTGACTTGGAACTTGCTCTCTGTGTTCCTCTGTACCCAGGTCAGTCAAAGCCTGTAAGGTCAGAATACTTCAGACTGTGCCCTCCTTGTCCCATAACCTCATGGCTAAAGGGTCTTGCCCTGCATCAGCAGTCGGAAAACCTCTAAAGGGACAGAGGTTATCTACTGTGTACAGTCTCTGCTGCATATTCATGTGTATGTTTTTAATAACCCTTTTAAAATGTTAAATCTCTTTTTAGCTCATGGACCATGCAAACACAAGCTGTGGAATTCCCCCACAGGCATGGCCTGCTGACTACTCCTCTGTGTTCATGAGTTTAAACTTCTCCTCTATCCACTCCTCCCAACGAGCCAGTGTTAGGTGAGTAACCCTCAGCTGTGTTGTCCAATAGAGTGGGCCCTAGCCATATGTCATATCGTTATTTGATTAAAAGAAAATACAATGTAAAATTCAGTTCCTCAGTCACATCAGCCACATATCAGTGCTGGGCAGCCACGTGTGGACAGGGTGGGCATGGAGCACTTCCATGATCTCAGAGTTCCTTTGGACAATGCTGCTCAAGGCCAGTGTGGAGAAGTCTGGGGTGAGATGGGGACTGAGACCCCCATGTAGGAGAGAGATGAGAAGGAGGAGGAAGACAGGCGAGGGCTGGCCCCTGCTCACATGTTGACGATGTTCTTGACGTTGAAGTTCTCCAAGGGAGCCAGGTCAGGGTCCACACCCCGCTCATCCTGGAGGACGATCTGCTGTAGGATGCGGTCCAGGAGCTGCCACTGCTGCAGGTAGCCACCATTCCGCTTGTCTGAGGGACACAGGCATTGCATCTACACTGAGCCCTGGAGCCTCACCCGAGAGTCACTGCCTGGGCTCAGGCTGGTGAGATGCCCCCCACTCCCTTGGCAAGCTCCCAGTCTGATGCAGGAAACGATGCAATTGCTGATGATGGAGAATCTCAAATCCAGCCATTTTTTGATTATCTGTGACTGACCTTCTGACTGTGTCAAACCTCTGGACATATTTCTCTGAAATGCTTCCTATCTGCTTTTCTTCCCTGTGGGTATTCAGCATCTAAGGCCTTGGGAATGCAAATTGCTTTTTCAATTACCTTAAGAAAAGCCTTTCTGAAGGCAAATCTACTCCAAAATATTACATGCTGAATAATAAAGTCTTCAGGAAAAAAAATTTTTTTAAAGAAGAGGTTTTATTTAGGGCAATATCTATGCTATTGTTCTATAGAGAAAGATGAATGGAAACTAACTGCAGGTGTGCACAGGGAGGGAATCAGCCTGTATCAGAGAAGTGGGAATGGAACCCAGGAAGATTTGTTTTGGTGAAGATGACCCTGAACTCTGAAGGCAAAGGCATGGTGTTTTATGCCCGATCTCACAGGGTCCCATTCTTATCCCCTCTACTCATAGTCTGGCTGGGCATAGACTTTTTTCGAGGTTGAAACTCTTCATTAGTTCTTGTTCCCCAATACTTCATCTCTGCTGACCACCAAGGAAGGTCAATCAGCATGATCCTGACCTTGAAGTCAAATCATTAATGCCTATAAAATGGAAGGTCATGCTGTAAAGCCCCTTCTAAAGTAGACAGAGAGACCCAGACACGTGCCCATGGACACCAACCACAGGGACTTGAGGCAGAAGTCAGTTTTCCCAGGACCTTCCCGTGTCTTCCATGAAGATTTCTGCTCTGACTTTCAGAGAAGAACTGAGAGCTGCAGTCCTAACCACTGCATCTCCCCCCCCCACCCCGCCACCATCACTCCACTGACACAGATATTGCCACATGGTATGTCATGCTCAATTTACCTTTCACCCAGGAAACACGGGTGGAGCCAGGACACTGGCTCCCAGAAGCAGAACACTCATTTAGAGCCCTGATCCCAAAGAAACAGAAGTCCCTTCATATGCACAGACTGGCTCAGCCTCAAGTTCATCCACTGAAAACAAGATCATAATGCTCACTCTGTACATCATTCTGAGGTTCAGAGACACTGTGCTAAAGGACCTCACACTGCACCTGGCCCAGAGCTGGCACATGGTAAACTGTCCTTGTCACCACCACCACCTTCACTACAACCAAAGAGAGTCTGTCTAGGTTGACTATAATTTTCCAAATACCCCATTTTGTGAAGAGCTTAACTACCAAATGGTACAGTTTCACTTTGCATGCTGGAGTGGCTTATCAATAATTATGTGCAATTTATGTAGTCACTGTGCACACTTGGATCTTAAGAGCTTAGCATCTGCTCCTATAGATGCTGACATTTGAAAAGAGAAGCAGGGGCAAGGGTGTTAGGGTGGGTTCCAACTCCCCAAAGTGATTGTGGAAGTCCTGGCCTTAGGAGGGAGGGAAGAGTAGAGGCTTGAGTCCTGGCCTGACCTTCTGGGGCTGGCTGAGGAAGCGGCAGGTGCTGGCTACTCACAGGGCATCTGCAGGCAGTGGTGCAAGACAGACAGCAGGCAGGGGTAGGCCTCCGTGTGCTTCAGCTTCCGGTGGATCAGCTCAAACATCTGGGAAGCACTCTTGGTGTCGATGTGGACCTGGGGGGTTGGGTACAGCAGTGACTGGGTTGGGGGAGACAGTGAGGAAGAGAATAGGGGAGGGAAGACCCTGCCTCCATCCACTGTACCATCCCCCCAGGAGGTCCCACCTTCCCCTGCCTCTGGCCCAGGAGCAAGGGGGAGATATGCTAATTATATAACCGGGGCTTCTCAGCCTGGGCCTATTGGCGTCTTGGACCAGATCATTTTTCGTCATAGTGTCGGCCTTGCTCATTATAGGGTGTTTGGCAGCATCCAGTGGCATCCTCCTCCCACTAGTTGTGACTACTTAAAAATGTCTCAAGACATGTGCATGTCCCCGTGGGCGGGGGTGGGGACTGCTAAGTTGCCCCTGGTTGAGAACTACTGATTCAAACTCAGGGGAAGAAGCAGGGACACAGGTGAGTGAAGAAGCACATGGCACACGGGTCCACAGCCTGGGCTCAGCCACAGGCCTGCTCTCTGATTGTGACAACACGCCAGCTGCCCAGTCTCTCCAACCTGCTTCCGTGTCTATAAATCCAGGAACTTTGAGAGAATATACAGGATGGTGGTTCGTGACTGAAGCACCACCCAAAGCAGGTTTCTATTTGGATGGGGATTTTATAGTACAACATTTAAGCAGCAGAGGGCTACTAGGGCTAAAATGAAAATATGATTGTGTTTGCTAAGCATGATCTGGTGCGTGATGGGAGGAGGAGACTCAGGATTGCCAGAAGGCAGGGGAAAGTAGTCCAGGAGTGGCATTTGAGACTACTCAGCTGAAAGAAAGAATGTCTCTCTTTCCTCTGGGGGTTGTGACCCGCTAGGACAGTGGTCGGCAAACTCATTAGTCAACAGAGCCAAATATCAACAGTAAAACGATTGACATTTCTTTTGAGAGCCAAATTTTTTAAACTTAAACTTCTTCTAATGCCACTTCTTCAAATTAGACTCACCCAGGCTGTGGTATTTTGTGGAAGAGCCACACTCAAGGGGCCAAAAAGCTGCATGTGGCTCTCGAGCTGCAATTTGCCGACCACTGCACTAAGGGGTAAATACTCTATCAGGTTAAACGCTCCAGGTGAGGCCCACATACTGCTAGGTATCCAGAAACAGGACCTGGCCATAGGGGGACGCACCAGGGAACCCAACCAGCACTAGACCCACCAGGCACAGGATCTGTAGAAGAGGCTGTGGGGCCACCTGGACCGCCACAGTCACCTCACCCCAGCAGGCTCCTCACCATGTCAAACCTCCTGGCTAGCTCCAGGTCATCCTCATTCCGGACCATCTCGAAGAAGTCTAAGTGCCTGGATAGGATGGGAGCATTGAGAGTGCAGACATTAGCATCAGGACATCATTGAAGGGTTACAGCCCCTTTAAGCCCCCACCAGCGAAACCTGAAAGCTTCACTCAGGTGAGGCCAATGCCAAACCAGAAGGAAGCAGCTATTGCAGGCAACACTTCCCTGTATAGACTCCCATGCCCTGCCCTCATGGAGACCAACCCAGCACTACTGATATTGGGGCTGGATTATCCTTGGTTATGGGAGGCTAATCTGTCAGTTGCAGGAGGTTCAGTAGCATCTGACCTCCACCCACTAATTGCCAGTAGCACCCCCACCTTCAGTTGTGACAACTAAAATGTCTCCAGGCATTGCCAAATGCCCCCTGGGGTAAGGGTAAAACACTCCCAGTCAGGGACTATTATCCTACATATACTTTTCCCAGTGTTCTCATACTGTCCCCATGTCAGCCCTCAAGGTCAATCTCACTCATTTTCTACCCCTTCACTCTCCACTCCACTCCAAAAGGATTCATCCACTTTCCCTTAAGGTCGAATGTAATAAAAGAGCCTGTACCCATAGGACAGAACCAGAAGGGCTGCTAGTAACAAACGGAAATGTAACTATGCCCTTGACCCATAAAGGGCTTTATGGCTTCTGAGTGGGCCATTTCTGTTGGGCAGGAGCACACTGTAGGACATTTAGCATTCCTGGTCCCTAACAAGTAGGCAGCCTGAAACCAAACAACACCCCCACATGTTTCCAAATGCCCTCAAAGGGGAAGTACTGCTGTGGTTGAGGACTATAGGGTCCACCTGTCTATAACATCAGAGATGAGACAGCTGGTCAGCAAAGAGGACATGTAGGGATATAGGTAAGACATGGGACAAGAGGATGGGATCCACAGCCCGCCCTACCCACAGGGCTGATTCCGCATTGATGTTGGGTCTGGCAGGTGGTCTCCAGTGGAAAGGGAAGCCTCCATGAAGGTTGTGACCATTACCCACCAAGGCTCTGTCCCCATAGGTCTGCAATGGGGTTGGGTGGCGTGGGCCTTACTTGTCCAGGATGGCATTCTCATGCTGCCGGAGTTTGTCAATCACGGGCTGTATCCCCAGCATCAGGAACTCATACCGTAGATGTAGGCGGAACTCCAGATTGTCCTAGGGGGTCAGCAAGGAAGGACCAAACTCTTTGGCTGGTCTTGATTTCCATAAGAGTCCCCAAGGGACCCTCACATCCACTGCAGTCATCATCCCACCACTTCTGCAGCCCACTCAACTGGAACTGCTTCAAGTTCCAAAGCCCCAAGGAAGGATGGCAGGAGACATCTTTTGATGCTGTTAATCCACTCCTTGTAGGTCTCCTGCCTCATCTCCATTGAGTCTCATAGCTTTTGGTGTCATTGTACTTAAGTACAGTGATACAAAGCACAAGCTTTGAAATCATACAGATCTTGGCTCAACTCCTGCTCTGTCACTTTTTTTAGTTTTGTGACTTTGGGAAAGCCTTAGTTTCCTCATCTGTAAAATGGCCACGATATTACCTATAGCAAGCATGTGAAACTCAAAGCCTAACATGGGCCAAATAAATGAGGCATGTGGCCCATGGGCCACGAGTTTGACATGCTTGACCTACAGGAATGGTGTTAGTAAATATTACCTGATGAGTTATGGTTACCAACTAATCAGAACAGATGCCAGCCATAAATAGCTAGTAATGACAAATGTGTTGTCAGCATCTTAGGGACAGATTCTTCCCCAAATTCACCTCACCTAACTGAGGTCATGAGGATTGGGTGACAAACAAAACACCAAAAACATGTTGGCGGGAAAAAAAGAGAAAATTACAAATTATTCAAGTGCCCTTTTTATCCTTCAATAAGCTGACCTTGACTGAGGCATCTGACTAATTATTCTTTAATTATTGCTATTTTTATGGTCTGAAAATCCTGTTCTGACCCCAAAGGAAAGAAATAGGAAACCAGGCCTCCTAACAGAAGGTGCTAGAAGAGCATGACTAGCCAACCCAGAAACCAGGCCACAGCAGATCTTTAGAAATCTCTAAAAAAGATTTCCTCTTCCCATAAATAATCCTACCACCCGAAGCCATCATCAGCCAGCCCAGGTGGGGTGCACGATGCGACGTGTGCAGGACACTCCCAGAAGGCTCTCCTAACAGCAAGGTTAATGACAAACTATTCCTGCTCAGCCCGAGAGAAGGCAGCAAGAGGTGCTAAGGACAGTGATGGCGGTGGCAGCTACCCAACCATGCTTGGCCCTCCCCTCTGCGACTTCCCCAGGAGGCACACACGCTAGCCCAGGTCCAGAAAGACAGGGCACAGTGAGGGCGGGGAAAGATGCCTCACCTCCCCAGCACCAGCATTGAGGACGGCGTTGATAAAGGACATGATGGCTGTCTTCAGGTTCACTTCATCCCGGTACCGGCCCAGACTTCGGTCCAGTTCATTCAGCAGGGTCTGGATGGGAAGACAGCACAGGAGAGGAGAGGGGAGCTCAGGATCCTAGAGGTCCAGCCTCTGTGCCTTTTCCCCTGCCATCCCAACTAGCAGAATTCCCCATCCATTCTCTCTACCCATCTATCCAACTTATCCAGGGCCTTCACCACAGCTTCCGAGAGGCATCCTTTGCCTCTCCATGCCTCATCCCAGCCCTGCCTTACTCCCTCTCCACCCAACCTCAGGCTTGGTGATTTTGCTGGACAGTGCTAAAATTCTGCTCTGGCACCTTACAGATCTTCCACAGTATGGCCACTGCCTTTGTCTCTTTTGTATCTTCTGCCAAGGGTCAGGGGTCACTTTTCACACAGAATAGGTGCTTAAACATGTTTGATGAGAGAATAAACCAATAGCCTATCCTGGAGGATAAACCACAGATTGTAATGACAGTTCATGTCTACGGAGACTTACTCCACGCCAAGACACGTGATACTCATTGTCTACCTCACTGGCACGTTTCTGGGGCAGGCCAGGGAGAAGAAAAGAATAGCCTGGCCTGAGCTCACAGAACTGTTCCCAGGGTCCCTGTAGTAGGCACAGGCCAGGCACTGGGCCTAAAATCTTGAGCCCAACAATTGCAAGAATTAGACAATTCTTCCCTGAGTCCCTCTGAGCCAGGAGCTGGGCTCAGGGAGACAGAGCACGAAAATGAAACAAACCAGTATCCCAGCCTCAGAGAAATATGTTCGAGCAAGAAGTCCATTTTCCTCACCAAAGACCTATCTCTCCAGGTCCCTCTGCAAGCCGGCCGCCGCGGGCCCTCACCTGGAAGCGCGTGCGCTCGGCGGCGTACACCTGGTAGTGCAGCATGGCCTGCAGGACCTTCTTGTGGCCACCTGGCACCAGGCACACGGCGCCCAGGATCTCCAGCACGGCCACCTTGGTCTTGCTGTTCTCCGTGCGCAGGCTCTGCGCGATGGTGCTGATGGCCTCGGGCTGCGCCAGCACGTGAGCCCGCCCCTGAGAGTTGTTCATCAGAGCCTTGATGCAGCCGATGAGGGAGGTGTGGATGCGGCTCTCGCAGGTGGCGTGGTCCATGCTCCGGAGGAAGTTCAGCAGGCAGGTCAAGCCATCCAGCTCGATGAAGCGGGTCACGAACCTGTCCAGGCCAGAGCCATTAGGGGATGGGCATCCTGCACTTGCATGCTATTCTGTACAACTGTTTGCAAAGAGTCATCCCATGATCCGTGCTCCACTGTGCCCCACCTACAGTAACCACTTGGCTCATTTATGCAGTGTATCTAAAACACTGACATGCTAGCGTGCTTACGGGTGACTCGCATCTTGTTTGTATTTTAAATACTGTTCATTTGCATGTCATTGACTGTCAGTTGCATACTTATGGTGCTGTGCAAGGGAAGGTGAAGATCATGATCATTGTTACAATAATTATTAAGGCTGTTAAACCTGAAGACTTATGTCCAGGGAGGATGGGAATTAAGGGAATTGCAGTCAGACAGCAGGAAGGACTTCCCAACCATGGGTAGGTGGGTGGGAAGGGTGCATCAGAGTCAAAAATCAAAGGACCAACACTCCAGAAGGCACTCTGCAAGAGGTCCTTAAGAAAACAGTAAAAACCATTTAGTTCAGTGGTTCTTAACCAGACCAGGCTATTCTCTTTTCTTCTCTGTTGGTCTATGGCTAGCATTCAGGGGTCTAGGGATGTGGGTGGAAAAAATAAAATTATACAGGCATACCTTGTTTTACTGCACTACCAGAGTCCCCATGCATGAAGATTCATGAAGAATGGGCCTTCCTTCCCCTGGCTGCTGGCATCACCTTCGCTCTGGCCAAAGCTACCTTTCCCCTCTGGCCAGGAGCCACCTTTCCACCTTCCCATGCTGCCCAGAGGCCTGCAGCAGCTGGGGGCTGGACGGGATGCCTGCATTGTCACCCCACCCCCAGTCGATTGGTGCCCATGTATGAAAATTAACCCGCCATCTTTGTTGGGTTAATTTGCATACTCACACCTGATTGGCTGGTGGGCATTGTGAAGATATGGTCAATTAACATGTTACTCTTTTATTAGGTAGATGCTTTTTTGTGCTTCACAGATATTGCAACGAGATTATGTCTTGCTGAAGGCCCAGGTGACAGTTGGCATTTTTTGGCAATATAGTATTTTTTAAGGTGCATATCTTGTTCTTTAGTCACCATGCTAATACACAGTTAATAGACTGCAGTATTGGAAACACAACTTTAATGTGCCCTGGGAAACCGAAACATGCATGTGACTCGCTTTATTGTGATATTCAGTTTCTTCCTGTGGTCTGGAACCAAACCCACAGTATCTCCGAGGTATACCTGTGCTTTTATTTTTGGCAACCTTCAACTGAAACTTACCATTTCCTTCCAGGATAAATGAAGGCAATAAATGTCAGTGGTATTAGCAGAATCTGTGACTTTGTCCCCAAAGGAATCACAGTGATCTTCATATCAAGGTTCAGTCATTGCAGGCATCTCAAAATATCACTGACACTCGTCAGCACATCAAAATGATGGCGTTGCCAGTTCCTGCTATTTAAGGCACATTTATTGCTATCTCACCAAATTTTAATATTTGGTAATTGTATTTCCATTTAATTGGCTAATTTTTTAAAATTCCCATCTAATTTTATTTTGACTATTTAAAAAAGTAATGAATACATTTGATCCCAAGTATATTTATGGGTATTTCTATATTACACAAATGTACCTAGAAAAATAAAATTTACTCTCAAATTAAGTTGTTAAAATAAGTGTTATTTACATTATTACAGGCTTTTCTATTCCACAAAATCGCTACCATGAGTTGATGTAACTTTTGCCATCAGAGGTATACCCAGGGGAAGAAAAATAAACTGAATGGGACACAAACCTGAACACTCCCCTAACCTCTTTGCTTCTTGACCCCTCCTCCTTCCTGACTCTCCTTTCCATTCCAGCTCCCCTCTTTTCCTCCCCCCCGAAATCTGAGCAACAAGTGGAAAATAAGATGTTCCATTCTCCTTGAGGTTCTGTTTCCAGGCTGCTGGGGTGAGAGCTCAGCCCAGACAACACACACACACACACACACACACACACACACACACACACACACACATATGCTCACAGACCAGTACTGGTAAATGTTAAAAGACAGGCTCTCTGGAGAAATTAAAAAAGGCCTGATTGTAGTGTTTGCCAGTTTCTATGGCATAAATACTCCCAGCATAGCCAATTTCAAGCCATCAATGTGACCTCCTTGGTTGTGGAGTTGGGCAGAGATGTGACATTTATAGTTTTTCCGCCATACATATACAACGGGTGTAAACTAGAGCATAAATAATAGTGAAGATTATATATTACAGTAAAATGGGGTCAGTAAAATCATTAGGTAATTAGGGAGTGATAAATGTAAAGTATTTATTACCTTTGTTTTTGACGTAATTTAATCATAAATTTATATTAAGTTACATTTTAGTCACAACTGTGTATAATACAGTTTGCAAAAGTGTAAAAATTTAACACTTGGCTCTCATAAACTGGTGTGAGCCCGATCCTGGGCCCAAGAAGAACCTGTGGTTCTTGTCCCCTCTTTGGATCCTTGTACTTTGTGGCCTGGAGAATGGGGGTTTCTTCTCCAGCCTTTGAGGCACCCATCCATTCAGGATACCTCATCCTCAGAGCTCTTTTTTTTTTTTTTAATTTCTTTATTGATTAAGGTGTCACATATTTGTTCTCATCCCCCTATTCCCATCCCAAACCCCTCCCCTCTCCCCCCGTAGAGCCCCACCCCTCTGTTGTCCATGACCACTGGTTAGGCTTATATGCATGCATACAAGCCTTGAATGTTTAGCTCCCTTCCTGTTCTATTCTCCCGAGAAAAACAAGTACCTGTCATCCATATCTCTTTGGATAGCTCTTACAAAGACCCGAGGTTTATTCCACTTTCCTATGCCCTCTTCCCCAAGTTCTCCATCCACAGCTCCTCAGAGAAAGGGGTATGGGAGCTGGAATGGAGTCAGTTCCAGGGGATGCTGGTGAGAGGGGTTGGCCAAGGGGACCAGGATGGGAACTGCCTGGCACTTTAGGAAGCTCAGGGAAGCACTGGGCGAAGGGCAGCGGAAGGAGGAACACACCTCATGGGCTGCGTCCGGAGAGCTGTCTTCAGGGCTTCCACCACTTGGTTCCTCATCTCTATCTCCTCCTCATCGAATTTGTACAGACTCTGCATCTGAGGCAGGTACAGAGCGGAGGTCATGCTGGGCTCTGTCTCCCAGCCCATGTGTCCCCAGCCCTGGTGTGGGGGCCACCCTGCCATCAGGAAAGGTGAGACCAGAGAATGGCTGACTAAGACCAACTGTGTCAGATTATGAGAAGACACAGGTTCTGGCCTGGACTTCACATTCCTCATCTTTAAAATGGGGAGAATTATTGGCCCAGCCTTCCTCCCCACCTTCTGTGGCAAATAAGTGGTTAAATGGTGGGGATATTCTGAAGTCACATGGAGAAGGGAGAGATGATGATAGCATCTTGGGCTCTGGTCTGGTGGGCGGGGTGTGAGGTGCAGGTGGAGATGATGGAGGCTCACTCGCCTCCATAGCCTCTCTGGTGGGACCAGGGCAGGAGAGGAGCGCCACTCACCGCGGCCATGGAGTTGATGCGGTCAATGTAATAGTCAGGCCAGCTGGTCGCCATCTTGTTGGGGTCCTCCTGCTCCTGGATCAAGAAGACTTGTAAGGACCAACCTGCCAAGCAGGCAGTGCCTGTGGTCCTTAGCTTCAGGCCTCCGGCAGGTATACCTCAGCCCCACCTCGATGGGAGGCAGCAAGGGAATCACAGTCTCCCAGCTCCCCCTTCTTCCTCGGCAAAACGTGGCTGATAAACACCGACTCTCACTACCAGCTAGTGATGTGGGCGGACACCAGGCAGGTATGTCCACGTTCAATGAACAATATGTGCAACGAAAAATAAAGTCACTTTTCCTTATTATATTTCTTCTGACTCTATTTTCACAAAATATAATTTTATGTCTGTTGAAGCTAATAAAAATTTGTATTGATATTTTATATCTCTTTTTTTTTCAAATTTTTTTGTTTGATAATATTCTCATTGTAGTCTACAAAAGTATTTGGTCTGCCTGCGATGGTTTGATAATTTAAAAACTTGGTCTCTCTCCCCCAGATAGTGTGAGAAGCACTGATACAAAAGCATTTGGTGCAGTTCCTGGCACATAGTAGGTGCTCACTAAATAATAACTTTATAAAAAAGAGGAAAAGACCCTGGTTTAAGGAAGACTCAGGAGGGGTCTGTGGATCTGAGAGGCAGAGCCCAGATCAGAGGGCCTCTGGCCCAGTTGTCAGATACCAGGAAAAAGCCCCAGCCTTTCCCCAGTGGACAAGAAAGATGGGCACTGGATAGACATCTGAGTTGACTGAAAACCCAGCCCTCTCCTCTGCCAAAGGATCTGCTTCCGGGCATTACCCAGCCCCTGTTCCCTCCTGTCCCTGTCCCTGTCCCATTGGGCCGTTCCTACTGGCTTCTCTTTGCTAAATTCCTGCTTCCAAATCACCATGAAGATTTACTTCCTCTAGAACTTCTCGGCTAGCTGTCTTAGACTTTACCCTGAACCTCTCAGCTCTGTCCTCTGGGGCTCTAGGATTTGGTTTCATAAAACCCAAATTTGAGTCCAGTGGGAAAGCTGTCCTGATTTGGTCTTTGTGACTTCATGTGACTTCTATGTGTTAAATCCCATGCCAGAGGCCCACAAGTCTGTCTTCTACCTTGAAGAAGGGTTCACAAAATCCACAGCAAATGCATCATAAAACACATATTTCCCTGCCTTTGCAGGCTCATCCGTTACCCACTCCATATGTACATTTAGTGAGAGCCTACTGCATGTCAATCACTGCACTGAGTCCTGAAAGTACTGAGCAAAAAGTCATCATCTGAGTTTTCAATGTCAGGGGCACGGTGACAAATGCTCTGTGGGAGAACTGTCCCTCGTGGGCCACGGAAACCCTGGGGGACATCGAACACCGAGGCTCCTGAGGGGTGAGGCAGTGGGGCTGAGGACAGGGTTGAGTTACTGAGGATGACTGAAGCTAAGACAGTGAGAGGGTGCTGTTGACAGAGGAGGCACTGTGTGGAAAGCATGGGTTATGAATGGGGATGGGGAAATTGCACACACTTTGACTTGGAAGAGAGAGGGGGAAAGGAGAGAGAGAGAGAGAAAGAGAGAGAGAGAGAGAGAGAGAGAGAGAGAGAGAGAGAGAGAGAGAGAGAGAACTCCTTACATTTTTAATAACTTGTTTAGAAAAATTTAGCTGTATGAGAGATCAAATTAAAGGAACTCCACACACAGTAACTCACTTTGCAAAGTGGGGAATCATGAGACAGGATTAATTGCTCCCGAAATTAATTTTCTCATTCCTCCCTCCCTTCCTCCCACAACTTGTGTTTTTTTTTAAGATGTGCTTTTCTGAGAGTGAGATTCATAGACACAGAACGTGGTATTCTGCAAGCGCTTAATGTATGTGCACTAAGTGCAGCAGATAATGACTTGTAATGTCTGCAGCCCATGCAATTGGCCACAGGTCCGCAGACCCAGCAGGCGGGGCTCTAGCCATGGCGCAGCCATAACCAGTGAGGGTCTGGCTGGGCCATAGCCTCGCAAGGCTTTTCTCGCCTCGTGTGCAGAGTAAAGGACTGGACTGGACTGTTGTTCAGTGCTTTCCAATAAATGATGAGTGACGCTAGCCTCCCCCCCCCCCCCCCCATTTCACAGTCAGCCTCTCGGTAGGGGCTCTGCCAGGTCCTAATTCCCAAATACCTGCCCTTTGAAGTCAAAGGGAGAAGCTGCAAGTCTGAGAAATTAGAGGGGGAAGAAGGGGAGTGGGGAAGGGGGATAAGAAAAAGAAAACAGACTGAAAGAAACAGATGGGCTCACGCACTGAGAGAGAAAGATATGAGCAAAAGAGACAGAGATGGAGAAAGAAAGAGGAAGAGAAGAGGAGAAAATCTAATTAAGCCCTGACCGAAGCCGCACACCACTTTCTAGGGAGGACCAGAGTCAAATGAACTAGAGGTGAGGGAGGAGAGGGTGGAGAGAACAAACCGATGTGTGACCTCCTAGCGTGACCCTCTGAGGCCGAGCCTGAGACAGGGCAGAGCAGGTGCTCAAGATGCCCCAATGGTCCCTCCCCTCCCCACCTAGGCCCAGTGTGGCCGCCCTCCAGGTGTGGGTCCGGCACGGAAAAAAGTCTAGACGTGTCCTCTGTGTGCCTCCCTAACCCAGCACCCCTCCTGGGTCCCAGCAGGCAGGGCCCTGATTAAAAGGCTTTTGAAAAACAGAACCTATTTCCTTGAGTGTAGTATGAGAGCAGGAATTTTTTTGTCCTGATTTATTCACTGTCATCCCTCCAACACCTAGTCCAGTGCTGTGTGCAACAAATACACCCGGATCTGTGGACCCTGAGCTGCAGGGGGGTGGAGGGGTGAGGAAGGAGGGCAGTCAGAGAGGGCACCTTCTTCTTGCTGCAGTAGATCTGCCATTTCTTCTCAGGGGGCAGAGCAAATACTGCCTCCCGGTTCTTGTCGGTGAGATCCAATTCATCCTGCAAAGACAGCAAGAAGGAGCGTCTGCATCCAGAGATGAATACTTAGCCCTCCAGGACGTAACAAGGCCCCCAAACCCATCCCTCAGCCTACGCCTCCCTCCCAAAGAGGATCAGAGGATGGCAGGGCCATTCTTTCTCCTGGAAACTCAGCCCACGCCCTGGCTTCTGCCCAAGCCTGTGCTGCTTCCATCCACACTCGCCCTGAGCCAGTCTCCCTCACCCCTTCACCACTGCCCCTGCAGACCCACCTCCTCATCCAGCCCTGCACATCTCCTGCAATGCTTTGCTAGCCATTAATTCTCTTACCGGGTTTCTTGTCTTCCTTCCTTTGTTGTTCTTATACTTGTCAACATATAAGTCCAGGCCCAACAAGAAAAGGACCATTCATTTCTACAGATCCAGGCCTTGCCCCATCCTGCAAGTCTCTCTCACCTGCCAGTCTTTCCTGCAGAAATTCCAGCTCCTCTGACTTCTGCACGGGCCCAGCACTGGCTGGGGAGCTGGGGAGGATGAAGGCAGAGCAGCTCTCCTGACAGGAAGGGCATGCTGTGCCAAGGGAGGCGGTGCCCTGCCTCCTGGAGGTATCCCTGCCAGTGGTGGCCCCTGTACCCACGTGACCCCCAGAAAAGGCTGGGGCTCTGGCAGGCAACGCCACGCTTTCTGAGGGGAAGCCAGGCGTTTCTGACATCATCAAACTCAGGGTAGTTCTCTGGGTGTGTGTGTCAGAATGCTTCCTTCTTGAAGATTTTCTTCCACTCAAGAGCGATGCTCAGCCTCATCTAAGACATAGCTAATGGGCCGGGGGAACATAGCACGCTTCTCGACTCAGCTTCTCAACTTGCTTTAAGATAACAAAGTTCAGCATTACTAACCTTTTCATTTTTAAAAATGATAAATGGTGAGAGTAGCATTTAAAGCATCCATACACTTGTCCCTATACTTTTATTTATTTATTTTATGTTTTTATTGATCTTAGAGAGAGAGGAAGGGCGAGAGATAGAAACATCAATGAGAGCCATAGTCAGTTTGGCTCAGTGGGTAGAGCATCAGCCCTAGAAGTGAAGGGTCCTGGGTTTGATTCTAGTCAAGGGCACATGCTGGTTGTGGGCTAGATCCCCAGTAGGGGGTGTGCAGGAGGCCAGCCAATCAATGATTCTTTCTCATCATTGATGTTCCTATCTCTCCCTCTTCCTGCCTCTCTGAAATCAATAAAAATATATCATATATCTGGCCATTCAGTGTGTGTGTGTGTGTGTGTGTGTGTGTGTGTGTGTGTGTATGTATTAGAGCCAGGCGCAGTGCATGAATTTGTGCATGGGTGGAGTCTGGCCAGCCTGGCCAGGGGGAGGGGACATGGGCGGTTGGCTGGCCTTCCTGCTGGTCGAACTCCTGATCAAGGGGACAATTTTCATATTAGCCTTTTATTATATAGGATATACACTGAGTGGCCAGATTATTATGCGTTCAGAGATCATAATTAACCTGGCCACTCAGTGTATATATATGAAACATTAATGAGAGAAAACCATAGATCAGTTGCCTCCTACACGCTCCCTATTGGGGAATGAGCTCACAATCCAGGCATGTGCCCTGACCCAGAATCTAACCAGCAACCTCTTGGTTTGTGAGTCCACACTCAACCACTCCCCCAAACCAGCAGGGCTCCTATCTTTCATTCACCGGAGAACAGGTAAGATTGTGCTTCACCTGGCTCAAGACTGTCCCTATAGGAATATCATGTGATCGACATGGTTTTCTAAAATTTTTTCAGGCACATTAAAAAAATTAAGAAATAGGTGACGTTAATTTTAATAACACATGTCATCAACATAAAGAAATGATCAGTGAGGTATTTAACATGAAATCTGGTGTACATTTGACCCTCACATCTCACCCCAGTTCAGACCACACGCCAAGTGGCCAGGAGCCCGTGTGACCAAGCCTGCCACCTGGGACAAAGGTGATTAGAAACACTGCCCATCAGTTCACCTTGGGTGTTCTTTGCTTTCTACTCACTCACCCAACAATTCCTATTACAGTTTCTCCTGAATAGCTCTTGAATCTCTCCACCTCTCTCCACCCTCACTGCTAACACAGGCCCAAGCCACCACTCTCCTAGCATGGACCTCACCAAGAGCCTCAGAATGGTCCACCCGGAGCCCTTCCTCAACAGAGGACCCTGCATGGCCATTTACAAAAGCAGATCAGGTCACCTCGAAGGCCTGCTTAAAGCCTCGGGGCTCTCTGTAGAAATAAATCCAAATCAAATGCCCAGTTATTCTCATCACCGTGTTGTCTCCCAAAAGGACCTGCTCTTTTCTGTGGGGGCCCCTCTGTGATGGTTCTGCACCCCTCTTCACTTATTTGACCATCACTCTGTGTTCAGATCTCAGTGGCAATGTCGCTGCTTCAGGGGGACCTTCTGGACCCCCATTCTAGAATAAAGCTCCCTGCTAGACGCGCCATGGGCTTCCTGAACATTCCCCATCCTAACACTCATCATACCGGTCAGACCGTTCAAGTTCAGCCTGCCCTACTGTCAGTGACTGTGCCTGTTGGCTCATCATAAGCCCCTGTCCCACAGGGCCCAGCACACAGCCATCTCCCAATAAACATTTTTTTTTTTCCCTCCATTTACTTTTCAATAACCAACACTAGTCTCCTCACAGATAAGACTTCTTGGACTCATTCTTGCTTTGCCAACTTGCCTTGTTAAAAGCCAAGCTTGTGAAAGGTCCTCTGTGAACACTTGCTGAATCACAGGGCCAGAGACAGGAATTTCATGTCCTTCTATCAAAACACATGCCTTCTGACCAAGAAAATGCCCCTGCCTGTGACAGCTTGAGGAATACACGTTTGATCTTTGTTCCCAGTTCCTCGCATAGAGCTCCTAAAACCCTTGGAATTTCCTGGGTGATAAGAGCTTCTTTTCCACAAGTGACATAAGAATGAAGCAACTCCACTCCCGGTGGGACCGACAGTGCTTCCAAATGGGGGGGGGCTAGGCACCAGAATGATCAAGTGCTGACTCGAAGCCTCGAACTTTCAGCCTCGCCTGCCAAACTCCATGGGGAAGGAGAGGGGTTGGAGATTGAGCTAAAACTTGATCATGACATGATGAAGTTGCCATAAAAGTCTCTAAATAACAGGGCTCAGAGCTTCCAGGGTGTTGAACCCATTCAGATGCTGGGAGGGTGCTCCAGACAGGAGCCTTATTATCCTTACCCTGCTGGGCCTTATCCTAGGCACCCCTTCATCATGGGTATTCTTCATAATATCCCTTATCATACACTGGCATTAGTAACAAAAGTGTTCCCCTGAGTTCTGTGGGCCATTCAACAAGCTACTGAACCTGAAGGGGGGGATGGTGGGAAACCCCAATTTGCAGCCCAGTTGAACAGCAGTGTGGGTAACCTGGAAACCCACTAGCTGTGATTGGTGTATAAAGTAGGGGAGCAGTCTCGTGGGCTGAGCCCTCAACCCATGGGGTCTGTGCTAATTCTGGGTAGCTAGCGTCAGAAACGAGTTAAATTATGGGACAACCGCTGGTGTCCGCAGAGAATTGGAATTGCTTGGTGTGGGAACCCACACGTGGTGGCAGCAGCATTCTGAGTGAAAACAGATCTTAGCAGCGCTGGCTGACCCATTGGGCTCCACGTGTTAGTCCACACTAGGAAACGCTGCTTGCTCTCTCCAACCTTGCCCAACCCTGAGGGAAGGGTATACATTAAGACAGCAACAAGTGTTCCTACTAGTAAACCTGATATGATAGGGAGAGCAGGCAACCTTTTCACATAACCAATCATGTTCTCATCTGATAGTGTCCTGTTATTTAAAGGGCTAGATGGCCTTAATCAGATACGTCTATTATCGAATTCAAGTGTGATATCTCATTCCAAATCACACAGCATCATCTCTATGTTGGTCAGCCAGGAGCATGAGTGGCCGGGAGCTCATGGTAGATAGGCTCCCGGAGATGGGCTTGTGCCTGTCACTCTGCCCTACGGCGGGACTCAGGTCTGAATTCTGGGTACAGGCCCCACATCCCTGGTCTGGGATTTCCTGGGCCTGCAGGCTATCTCACCGTCACACCTCCCAAGAGAGGAATCGTGCTTCTTTCCTGTTCTGCCCCTTTATGGTAGAGGAGGAAGTTTATCACACACAGCGGTTCCCACAAAGGCACACTGTTACTGCGCTGGTCCAGGTGGACATCAGAGAGAGGGGCTGATACCAGTGTGAGCAGCAGGGCTGCTGCCTCCCTGCTGGCTGGGGAGGACTGCTGGATGTGGGATCCCCGGCCCAGGGGAGTTCCAGGTGTGATGTAGGCATCTTTATCTCCACATTTCCAGTCAGTCATCACCGTTCTGGGTGCCCAGTGTCTGCCTACAGAACCCCACCCTGCTTCCTCTTCCTGCACCTGGGTAAAAGGATCCAGGGAAACCCAGAGAGAATGTCAGGTTCAGATGCTCTCTGAGCGCTCATTGCCTCATTCCACAAAATCCCTGACCTGCTCTTTCCACGGTGGCCTAACTGCTTCTGTCCATTAGGTCTAGAAGCCAAAGCAGAAATGAGGTAGGTCTGCTCTTCTGGGGATACATTCCCTGGTGAGTGGTCTGCTTCTCCCACACAGTCAGGTGTCCTTGGGGACCATTTCAGTGCCACACAGAGCTTCAGAGGTTAGGATCCCAGCACATGGGCCCCGGCCCACTGTCTTGCTCTGCCTGCTCCAGCCATTCCCCTCCTTGTTGCCATCACCTTCCCGGCCCCTCACTCACCACAAGCTCTGCGAAGCGGACATTGAGCTCCTCCGTGTTTGGGATCGGACCGGAGAACTCCATGTACTGCAGAGGGTTATTGTCCCGGAGGTTGATCTCAGGGAGGTCATTGCCCCCAAAGCAGCACAAGAAGCCCAGGCCATGGCGGCTCCTCTTTCGGGGGGCCATGGTCACTGCAGGCCAGGGGGACAGTCCAGAGGCAAGTGCCCTAGGTCCTCATCGTGATCTGAGTAGGGGGGTAGAGAGCACAGAGTGGTCAGACATGTTAGCCAGGTAGGTGGAGACAGTGATCCCTCTGCCACCATAACTTCTTTGTTCAACTGTCAGAAGCCCTCAACCCACCAGCCAAGCATTTCTCTGGCTCTTTCTACTTGGAGGCATTTCCTCCTCACCACATCCTCCCAGTGTTTGACACACACTTTCAGCTACCTACTCTGTGCCTCTAGAGAAGAGGATGGGTGTGGTCCCAAATTGGACTCCCAGGAGGTCAGAGATGGCCTTCATCTTGCCTTCCCTATCACGTCAGTTGGAATGCTATTCCCTGACCTTAGCAGACCCATGTCCAGCGGGGCTCACTCACTCATTTCATTCATTCTGGGGGTGGGGATACCTAGTGTAAAGATTTCATACAATGGGGAGGGAAGAGTTAAGGTATTTTAAGTATTGATTCTTAGCTGTTTCTTTTGGATTTGGGTCATGAACAGAATGATCAGAATGTGTCCATGGTCTTTACTCACATCATTTCTAAAAATGCTGAACACAACAGGGATACAAACAGACCTAGATGGGAGCGGCGAAGAACTAGTCAACTCTCAGGGAAGAGTCCTCCAACCAGCTCTTGATCCACAAACCACGTAGTTACCCAGTCCGTAAAGACACCGGAGGAGATGCTCCCTGAAGTCTGGTGGAACTGAGCTATGCTCAACCTAAGGCATTCTTTTGACCCAAGCTCTAGAAAAAATAACTAAAAGGTGGCGTAATATGTTCCTAGTAAATGCAAGGTAACTTCTGGAGGGCATCACTTTGTCTCCTAAGCCCTAACCATTTCACCACTAACTAACCTGGCCTCTCATATAAGTCATGATGCATTTTACTTGTCATTATAGAGATTTTATATTTCTTTATAAACTTTGTGACAGGATAGCCGCAAATAGTATATACCCAAGGCTGCCTGTGTTGTAGATTGTCTACTATGTATTTACATATTGGCTCAGCAAAGCCACAGTGAATACAGGGCCATGCCTTCTGCTTCTTTGACCACCTCCCCTCAATTTCTATAGCCAATAAAATGCCTTTCACTTAATGTTAAAAACATATTTTGTGGTCAATTGAAAAACAACCAACCTGTGTTTTCACAAGAGGAAAGGGGTCCTTATCAATCAGTCAAGAAATCATGATTGAAATCTGACTTCTAGTCATTGATAAGCGAACTGCGACACTTATAAGGAACAAGGGGACAACCTTGAAATTGGGAGTAGAGAAAGCAGCAGGCAGGCCAACACAGCAACCCTGGTACATGGTGGCAAACCTGGAATAGGTTGGCGCTGAGGAAAACAAGAGAGGAAGGGAGGCCATGGGACTTGTTAGCCAAGAGTGTATGAGACAAAGCCCTGGTCCCCACTCTCAGGTTTGGTAAAGCAACAATTCTGCAGGCAGATGGGGTGGACTATCCTGGGAGTCCCCTGCCCATTCTCAAGTTTGGGATGATGATGCAGAGTACAGACCAGGCCCCCTTTTTCCCCATCAGCTTACAAAATGAAGCTTCAGCTGAGAGGCAAGACTGCTTTGCTCAGGGCACAATGTTTGGGGAAAAAACGAGGCCATGGTGAGGCTGGGTGGATGGCATGATGGTGTTTGGGGAGAGATGAGCTGATGTCTGGGAGGACCTGTGAACTCTTTTCTGCATTCACCTCCTTGACTTCTTGCTCTGCCAGTCTTTCTTGTCCTTCTTTGCCCTTCACCCCCTGAGCCAGGCTTTGCCAGGAGGAAGCGAGGAGGGGGTGGTTGGGGGGAGGGCAGGGCAGGCATACAGCTAGTATACCCTGTTAATCTTACACCAGCTGTTTATGGCTGTGACTTCCATGCCATACCTTAAATATATATTTTGGTTAGTGGTTAATTCTCACCTGAAAATATATTTCTCCAATGCTTTTCAGAGACAGTGGAAAGGAGGGAAGGAGAGGAAGAGATACAGAGGAGAGAGAGAGATAGAGACATTGATATGAGAGAGACACATAGATTGGTTGCCTCTGGTATGCACCCCAAATGGGGTCAAGGATTGAACCTGCAACTCAGGTATGTGATGTGCCTTTGACTGGGAAACAATAACCATGGCTTTCTTTAAATATTTTTAATGTCTCCCCTGAGTATAAGGAGTGATGGGGAGTGGCCTCAAGAGGAAAGAGGAAGTAGATCCAGAGAAGAGCCTGCACACCCAGGGGAACGCTGTATATCTGCCCCTTTAAGAGGTGGCCCATTTGACAGATGCTGAGTATGTTTCTATTTCTGAGGACGTCCTCCTCCCCATGAACCCCTCTTTAAGCTTGTTGTTGCCTCTCTTTCTTAAGGGCACATAGAAGAATTAAAAACTAAAGCTGGAAATTATCTAGCTTCATGGAAGAGATCAGAAAACTACAGTTCAAAGAGGAGATATCTTATCTAGGTCTCACAGGTGAGGGACAGGGCTGGGATTGAACCCCAGGGCTCCAGTGTTCAGGCTGTTGTCTGACCTACCACACCAGAGCTTGTCTTCCCAAATCAATGCTCTTTTACCCATGGCTCCAGGCCCCAATTGCCTTCCCCACTAGAGATCAATCTTCACAGCTTAGCTTAGAAATAGCTCCGATCTCAAATGTCCCTCTTCTAGACCAGGAAAGGGTCATGGAGATTCCAAAAGCCACCTGATTTTCTTCCATCAGAAGAAATAGCTTTCACTTGCCACCACCCCACGTTCCCAACAACCCCTGCTGTAACCCCTCCTCTACTGAGCCGAGTCTTCGAAGTGGAAGGAACTGGGATTTGCCTCTGACTGGTGACCCTGAGTATGTTTCATGCGGTGTTTACCTCTCAGAACCTCAGGCTTTTCATCTGTGACACCGAGATAATAATAATTGCATCTTCCCCATTGGGTTTTGGTGAAGAGAAAAGGAGGAAATGTAAATGAGATGCCTGGATCAAACTGTGCCCTCACTGCTGCAGCAGCTTCATTGGCATCATCACAGCAAGGTGACTGCCAGCCCAGAGCCTCAGCCAGGAGCCCTTCTCCAGATGTGGATGGGCCACCAAATCAGGCTTTGCAGAAACAAGCCAGCCAGATTTAAGCCACCTGGCATAATCTCCGGTACCTGGGAAGTCTGACCCAGAGGATCTAACTTCTGAGCTACCTCCAGATGGAAAGGTAAAACCCCTGAACTCACCCTGAGCAGGGAGGAGAGAAGGTGGAGGTGACCAGAAATAATCATTTCAGCAAAAACCCTTTACAAAGACAGGCAATGGAGGTTCCCATGTTAGACAAGTATGAGAAGCAATATGGAAAAACAGGTAGCAACAACAGAACAAAATCCAGTGTCCTTGAACTTGGGCCAGAGGGATTTAACCTGCTCCCACCACCACCCACCTATCTCTCCGTGGAAACTTCCCCCACACCAACAGCTCCCTGCCCTTCCTCTCCTATCTCCTGGCCCCATCCCTTTCTTCTACTGTGGGGACAAGGTCTTCCAGGACTGTTAGTCCCTAAACACAGACCAACTAGCACCCTAAGACACCAAAACACCTGGTCACCACCAATTAGCCCTCCTGTGACTGACTGTCAGAGGTCTCCTCCAGCCTGGGGCTCCTCCAGACTTCCCCTCCTTACTGCCACCCTTCCATGTTGTGGAAAACACATATTCCCTCTATTCAGGAGACCAGAGCTGGTCACCAGTCAGCTGTGGGTCAGGGGGTCATGTGTTATCCTATCTGGGCCTCAGTTTCCTCTTGGTGCAGTGGCAGGATTGGACTGCAGAACTAACTTCCAGAGCCCAGTCAGCCCTGACCTTTCACTCTATCTGATTTGATCTCATTCCCAAAGATTCCCCAGGGCTTCAGTCTCTACTGCGTGCTCCTCCCACATTCCACCGGAGCCAGGAAGCACTTCCTATTGCGTGAGTGCAGTACTCCCATTTGGTTTGCAAAGATGAAAATCCTAACCCTTACCCTCAAACCCTAGCCCTCAGGCCCTCTACGCACCAGTTTTTGCATTAATTAGGACTTCAAAAGCTCTGTATCATCAGTGCTTACTCTTAACTCATAACTAAAAGCAGAATAATATTTTTACAACTGAGACTCTGGTATATTCCACACACTGGGTTATGTCTACATTTCATCCCCACCACAACTCTCTGAGATAGGTGGCATCATTTTAAAAAAGTTAGTAAAAGAAACAAGAAAAACCTGCTGTTCAGAGAAGTTAAGTAATTTGCTCAAGACACATAGCTAGTTATGGCATAGGTAGGCTCAAACACATGACTTTGACTCTAAAGCTATAAACCACTAAGCCACAGGGTACATGTCTAAGGAATGTCCATATCTAACACCTGATCAGAGCTTTCTCAGGAGTTCTATAGGCCCCGACTCAATCACTCGTAATTGAGTATTTCCTATGAGCTGGGCCAAGTGTTTTCATAGCTCTGCGGTCTCATTTCAGCTTTGTGATGGCCTTGTGAGGTGGTTTTTGCTATTATCCCTCCCTACAGATGATAATTATGACGCTCCTGAAGCTGCCACATGGCTTGTCACAATACCAGCTGCTAAGAGACAGAGCTAGAACTCACAACTAAATATTCTGACTCCAAAAAATAAAATATAAAAATCAATCAATCAATCAATCAATCATTATTCTGACTCCAAGTTCAGTGCTTCTATCACATGACCAAAGCTGACTCATAAACTCTCCCTTTATCTCTTGGGACCAATATTGTGGCTTCAAAGTATTCAAGTTGTATTCTCCTGTTCCCTTCCCCAAGCTCTACACATGGGGGTAACAGGGCAATGATAAGCTATTGTGCCTCTCCTTGGCTACTTCCAAACGCCTGCAAGGAGCCAGGCACTGTGCTGACAACGTAGTGTTTTGTCTCACTTTGTCCCTGAAACTCTCCCAGAACATGACTCTACCTTCTTACTAATGATGA